GAGCCGAGCTCAGCCCGGAGCCTGGCGAAGAATGAAACCAACCATGCCCCATCAGCCATATGGGCACCGAGGCCTTTCCTAGCATTCCTGAAGAAGCAACGGAAAAGGGAGGACCCGCCACGCGTGAAGATTGAGCAGTGAGATTATGAGATCAATACAATATATGTGTTTGCCTTCTGCTGCCTCTCAGCAGCGCGGGGGTCGCGCGTTGAAGGGCTGCAAACATTGGATCGGTCAAAACAGCATGCTCGCACCGTGCTTGCCAGCTGCAAGTCACACCCAAGGGTTCCCAGATTCTGACGTTTTCGCAGGGCCCGTTCCTTTGAAAAAAGGCACCCTCATTGTTTTTTTGGGGAATGAGCTTGATCAGGCTACTTTTTGGGGACCCAAACCTTGTCGTGTTTGAGGGGTGCCTAAGCCCGAAAACCATTTCGTCTTCAGGGTGCATGACAATTGGCACGCGTGCTTGCGTGGCACCTTGTTTTGGGGGCCACACGTTGAAGATTCAACCGTTTGGGCTTTTAAAAGCATGCATGGGTGTTGCAGCAACCAGGGGTCCCCTTTTTTCAAGCGGGCCCACGCACGGGAAACAAATCCTTTTTTGGGGCACCGTCTTAGAACCATGCGTGCTTTCTGAGGGACCCGAGACCAATATCGCTTTTTGGGGTATGCTCCAAGCCTCCCTTTTTTAAACCCAGGAACTCATCATCCTTTCAATCATTTTCAGAAGACCCCAAGACATCTCGCTTTCCAAGCCCGGAAGATCACAACTTCGTAGAGCCACCTTGTTTGAGGGGCCCAAGCACTGCAGACAATATGGGCCGCGTGGTTTATTCGATAAAGTTTGTCAGCCCTCAGGCTGGACAAGGATTTGTACAGGCTAGCGATCCTTATGCTGGTAAAGGTCTACTCCAAAAGCGGGTTGCATGTAGGGCTTTGGGGAGCACAGCAAAGACCTGTACCCCTACAAGAAACAAATAAAATAGCTTGGGAACTAACCTTTTGCTTTTAGTCCTGCAGGGGCTATCTCAAATCCCACCGCGATTTGGTAGCTGCTTCGCCGTTGGTGAGGGGCGAGGCATTGCAGGGTCAAGTCCTAAACAAAAAGGTTGAATCAGGGATTCACATCGTGTTCCCCCATAGCCCTTCAATGCAGCTTATAGTTAGGGTTTCTGCAGGATTTCGGATTGCCCGCAAAAACTGCCCCAGAAGCCCTTCAATTGGTATTGTCAACTCGTTTGCTTGCGGGAGGGGGGGGTTAGTCCGTACACCTGATCCTTGAGGAGATACCCACTGGTAGCAGACTAGTCTCTGTTGGCCCTGGATCTGTTTCAGGTAAGAACCTGACGCAGATGGATTGATGGGATACTGGAAGTCCCTGGTTGTACTCTATATGTGGTAATACCTGTATAGCGAAGCCGCAAGTCCTTTCACAGCGAATGCTATGTGGTGAGACGGGGTTTGAGCCAAACCAGGGATTTCCAAGAGGTCCAGTGTCAGAAAAACAGAATGAACACAAAATCAAAAGCATTTCGTTTGGTATAGCGCTTGTTTTGCCGCTAACCTGGCGGGGGACAAGGCGTTGCAACCAAGATTCGACCAAGACCCCTGCCAAAAGTAATCTTGTGTCGCGAGGGTTTGCTGATCTACGAGGGACGGGGCGTTGCAACTTTTGGGGGAGTTGGCGTTAGGTGCCCCTAAGAATAGTGATCAGCAACATTGTCCCCCAAAATCTTGCTAGCACTTATGAAGGAATTTGTTTTAACGTTCCCGCTGGACCTGTCCACTTTCAAATGCGGAATCTGAACGATAGCCTATCGGTGAAGGGCCCTACCGGGGTGCCCAACAGCCCCGCGATTGGTCGAATGATTGGCCTCGAGGACGCCGCCGTTTGGCCTCGCAAGGTGCAGGGTGTTGCAATTTGCATTGTTCCCCAATTACCCTTTCATCAAGTATCCTGCGTTGGGAACACCTGCTGCTGATAGCACGCAGGTACACCTGAACCTGGGCCGTTGCTGGAGCACGTAATTGCGACTATTGCTGATGGGGCCAGCCTCCCAGTTGGACAAGGTATTTTTGTTTGACTGGGCCCTGTGCTTTTGATGGGGAACAAGGGTCCAAGTACACCCGCTATTGTTTTGATCTTGTGTGCTTTGAACGGCCCCATTCCTTTTCAGAACAAGGCAGAAACAACATGTCTTGGCCGGCCCCCCCTTGTCAATTTAATAGGGCCTGTGGAGTATATTCCGGGCCATATCTCCGAGGCCCCAGCAAAGGCGTTGGTGGATCACGGGAACGCCCTGGCCAGGGAGCTGCAAACGCGGTCTCTGAAGAGAGACCAAGGTGGCGCAATATGTGAAACGGCTGGAAGTGTCTCCAATGCGGCTCGGCAATACGAGCGGGTGGTCCGCCGGTACAAGTTTGCCTTGCAAATTCCCGTGTCAAACTTCACCTACGAGGAGAATGGGGAGTCTGTGGCGCTACCTTGGCTTCGGCCCCGAGATATTTTGGAGCATCTGCTAGGGGCGTTTCCGTGGCTCTTGCTTGGGGGTTGCGAAGTTGGGGAAGGCGCCCAGCAGTTATTGTCAACATTCTGGAAAACGTATCGGACACAGCATGCCTCGCATGAAGTGTTTCAAGGTAATGAAGATCGGCTGAGCCAGACCATCCCGTTATGTCTCCATGGAGATGGCGCAAGGACGCAGAAAAAACAACCCCTGGAAATCGTTTCGATTGAAGCAGTTCTTGGCCTTGACACACAACCCATGCTGGATCTATTCTGCAACTGCAAGCGCCAGCCGGATTCAAACACCTCTGGCTTTGCATGTGGCTTGGCGGACCCCCTTGTTCAGAAGCTGAACCACAAGCACCACACCTACCTCACTCGCTTTTTGGTGTTTGCTTTCCCCAGTAAGAAGTATGACGTCAAGCTGCCAGGCCTCCTTCGTGCGTTCTTGGAAGAAGCCAGCAAAGACCTGGGTGCTCTGTGCGAACATGGCATCCGATTGCCTACAGGAACTTTCTATTTTGCATTTTTGGGCTACAAAGGGGACATGGAGTACCACGCAAAAACAGGCCTGCTGGTGCGCAGTTACAAAAATGTGGGAACAAAGAACCACATTCCGTGCTGCCACGAGTGTGGCGCTGGCAGCATTCGCTTCCCATTTGAAGATTTCACGCCTCAACCTTCGTGGTCCACAACCCTTTATGAATCTGTGCCCTGGCGTGAGGAGCCGCCGTTTCGCGGCATCAAATTCGAGGCTAGTTGGGCCGCTGGCAAGGCGGCTTCCTGGTTTCGTCGCGATTCCTTTCATATCCTGCGACATGGGGTGGCCAGAAATTTCTTCGCTTCAGCATTGATATTATTGGCCCTGGAAGGCTTTTTTGATGACCCAGCCGACCCTTCTGAAGACCTTGGGCAGCGCTTGGCCTCTGCGTGGGCACACTTCCGGCTATGGTGTGAGACTATAGGAACATCGCCGGCCACGGTGCGGTCTTTTTCCAGGGAGAAGCTTCATTTCCAAACGCTCAGCAGCTTCCCATACATTGGTTGCAAGGGCTCGGACACGATTTTGTTTTTGAGGTGGCTGCAGCTCTTTCTCCGTACTCAGCTTGCTACAGAGACAACGCCTGCCATGTTTGTTATGTTGCAACAAATGCTTCGTTGCGCAAATGGCGCCATTGAGTTTCAGTGCATTCATCACCATGGCATTTGGCTTCGCCGCCAGTGTGCCCAACGGATTCACAAGGCCTGCCGAGATTTTTGCGGAGGCTATTGTTTGCTGGCCGATATGTGTTTGAACAGTCGACGGACACTATTTGGCATGGTCCCCAAAATCCATGCCTTGGACCATTTTCGATGGGAGCTTCAATGTGCATTGGAGGAGCAGCGCTGCGTCACGCTAAACCCATGTGTATTTGATTGCAGCATGAACGAGGATTTTGTTGGAAGATTGGCCCGCCAAAGTAGGCGCATTGGATTCAAGAAAGTAAACCACAACTTGATACTAGCTTACTTGGTGAAGGCCAAAACGGTCATCAAAAAGTTTAAACGTTCCGGACAGCACTTGCAAAGACAGTAAAATCGAATCGCAGCCGAGCAGCCGTGAGAAAGTCGCGATCTCGTCGCTGAAGCTGTTTGAGCCACAAAAGGCAGGGGGCAGTTTTTTCAGCGGGGGTCGGTTTTTGTGGTGGGGGTCGGAAATTGTTGATCATTGCCCCGGGGGCGAAAAAACGGCAACCCTAGAAGATCTAGGTTGGTGTCAGCAACCCGCTTCCCCAGATGCCAATGTCGAAGTGAATGGGGGAGGCGGGTTTGACTGATGTTTTTTTGTTTTTTTTGTTTCGGTTCCCTCCTACGTGCGCACCAAACAAGTTGAGCTTTTCCCTTCCCGCCGCTGAGCGGATTGGCCACCGATGAAAATTTGGCATCAAAAAAGGCCACGAGCTTGGAAGGGAAAAAATGGCAAAGGCCCATACTCACCTTGCCCAGTTTGGACCTGGAATTACAAAGTTAACCTTCTAGGACCACTGAATATGGACCAAAATGGGAAGCCATGGAAAAGGTCGGCTTTCGGCAGCTGAGCAAAAGTCAAGGCAAGCCAAGTTTGGCAGTATGGTTGATCCAAACTTGGTCTTGCGAACGAATCTCCACACTAAATACCCCCCAAGAAACATCTAAGAGATCTGAGCGCAGTGGCAACCGAACCCGTCCCAGCTTGCTGATATTCTCTAACAGTCTGCTTGCAAGCAAAGGTGAACCTCAGATTTCGGAGGCTGGAGGACCGTACTCAGAGGTTGTCCCGAAGTACTTTCGGAGTACTCCTTGGAATAGCATGGAACTCTTAGTCCAAAGGGGCCAACATTGATTATCCCTTGATCCGCAAAAGCATGTTGTAGATATTCGGCATTTGTGTACCGGAATGCGAAGGCTAGTTGCTCTCTGCTTGCCCCCCCCACCACCCCCAAGCTGCTTGCTACCAGTCTGCACGCGATCGCGCCTTGGCCATGTTTGCGATCACCAGCAAGTCCCGCTGGCGATTCGCCTGCTGGATTGCCTTGGGTGTGTTAAAGGGTAGCTGCAGAGCAAATCAGCAAAGGCACACGGAAGATAGCTTCCCATTGTCTTCATGTCTTCCAAGTGCTTTTTTTTTTGCAGGCGGGGGGGGGGGGGGTTCATGATAGGGGTGTATGCAAATACAGTTGGAAGACACAACTTGATGAGTACCGGGCACACCAGGCCAAGCCGACTTTCACAAGCCCGAGAGGGGTCACCAACCTGGACGTGACGTATACGACAGGGTATGATTTGAGGTTACTTTTTTGGGATAGTTTAAATGGGGCATCATAAATTGAGGCGTCCATCCAATTGAAGACGGACCACATAGGCGTTTTCACCGACGAAGAAGTTGGCCCCCTTCGCATTCCATCGACCCTGTTGACGACCAAGGAGAAAGAACCCTGGGCCATCGACATCGTCTACAAGAACATATGCATTCATCATCGTTGTTTGCAGAACCCCAGCAGTTTCCCCGTCTTCGAAAGAGACTCGGTCTGAGGCTACTTACGCCCTCTGGTGATGGAAAAGGCCGCGCCCCTCCAACATGGTGCTGCTGATGGTCAGGGACTTGGGCTCAGCTCGGCGTGCATCTCACCACTGCAACTTCTGGCCGTGCTCTCTCATTTTGATGGGTGCCTCTGCTTTGCTGTGTCTGTAGAACTTAAGCGGCACTATGTCCGCACTGACAATCCATAATCCTTATATAGGGAAGCCAATAGACAGGGGACCGGTTCCGTACGTAACTCAAGGGAAGGATCTTGCGGATTACCTTTGAACAGCCAGAAGGATCCCAAGTAAGCGGGCTACATCATTCAAAGTTTGTTTGGCCCCAGCAAAGATCTCCATAATAAACGATCTTATGAAATCACAAAAAAGCTCCGCGACGGGGGGCCCTTGAGTAGGGAGACATATGCATGTAAGGCTAAGCCCGAGTAAGCCTCATGAAAGACTACCAAGGCCTTCTGACGGGAAACCTTGAAAAAAGCAACCCCTGTATGGCCTCGTGATATCTGTTGGTTGAGTGGACGCCACAATTGGTGAAAAACCGCTAAGGTATCAACCACAACAAGTGCTAAATGCTGTCATTTGCAAAGACGACAAACAAATCCCCGGCCTCAAATTGGGAATCACAGCGAGCATGTTTTGGAGAAGAGCCCGTTGTGCGTTGATCACCCTAATAGTTTGGCCAAGGTCTGCAGCCAAAGGACGTACTTGTCCACCTCCTGCGGGCCATCCTCAGGAGATTCTCGGCTGTCATCAGCTAGCCTGGTGAGCGATGGAGGGGTTTCCTGCTGGTTCGGATCAATCCGGAGGCCGGTAAAAATTAGGGCTGGCTCCACGTTGAAGAAGGAGCTTGTCGGTTTTAGGTTCCTTTGGCATGTGGGAGACTCCGAGTTTTCAGTTCCTGAGTGGATTGGCCCAAACAAGCCTGGACTTTTTATGTACCACTAAAATGATTTTCCCAAAATGTTTGTAGTCCAGGAACTCAGGGAGTGAGTCCCGATTACCGTGTTCTAATGTTAGAGATTCAAGAGGGGTTTGAACTGTTTGGGCTACAAGGGGACCACAAGGGTTGTTTCAGTTTGCGGGTGATTTCACCATTTCCCCACCGAGCACCAGCAAGTTCGTCCTTCCAGTGTCAACAATTGCCTCACTTCCTGAGTAGACTGACCAACAAACGTAGCCAAACGGTTTGTTTACCGCTGAAAATTGTCCGAACCCAAAAAGCTTGAAGCGAGGAACTCAGCGAGCAAGTTGCAATCGCAAAGTGCAAGATCAGTCGGCCCATTGGGTCCTGAACCAAACTGCAGTGGTTCGAATGGCTAAGCCACCCACTTTTGGAGGCCCACCCCCCAAGAGGCTCTTCAGGGGTATGGTCCGCATTAGGTGTTCCTTGCCCTCATTAAAAGAACAGCCTTGGGACCCAGTTTGGATGATGACAAGAGGTAAACAATGGTGGTTATATAAACCCCCATCGTTTTCATGTTTGTTTGAACCCCAGGGCTACAACTGCCAGTTCTGCGTTGGCCAAGAAGTTTCCCGTGCTTCAATTACTACAGCAAGTCTTTGGCTGCCAAGAGTGGCCTGCCTGCAATCCACTGGCGTCGGATCGGCGTTGAGAATAGGCTTCTTCGGATAATTGCGTGTTGTCCGGCTTGGGCTCTGTTGGTCATGTTGCCGGAACCCGTCCAATGCAAACCCGTTCAGCTCCACAAAACAAATGGAGAGCCGGATTTTTTGGGCGACCTTAGATTATCCAAGTCGCCAAGAAACACTTCCCGAGGCAAGTAGAGCAGTCGAAAGCAACTTGAGAGCTGCACACGTTAGATGTATTTGTCTTTTTGAGGAGTACCAAGGGCGCTATATACAGCACAGCTACAACTACTGAAGGGAAACATACATCACTCCCTCCTTCCCCTGTCTTCTTGTTTATCTCTCTTAGTTCTTCCTGTTCTTTGCTCTTTCCTCGCTTTTCTATGGGGCAGAACACCTAAACCAAGAGCTTGAGCATGATAGGATTTGGAAGTTCCTTTTTGGCTGGCCATTCCAGTCGCCCCTGTGTCCATGCGTAGTAGATGACCTGCAAGTTCTGCACCATATTCCAAGACCTGAATTGAGGGCCCCCTGGTGAGCTGGCCAAAAGCGGTCTGGGCACATGAAGACGGCGCGCACCACAAAGTCCAGCAAAGAGCTGCTGAAGGTGCTGCCTCGAGCGAAACTGAACCTGGAACCAACCAAGTGCATGGGAGTCTTGTTGCCACCTTTTGCTAGGTCTCCCAGTCGTGCCCTACTCCCCTACTAAAGTAGACTACAGAGAAAAGGGTACCCTTGTTCTAACCTCTCTACTGGAGGACCTAGTTTGAGGCATTTGGCGACGACTGAAACGATTTCAACATGCCCTCCTTTCCATGTGACATCTCCTTTTGGGTGATTTCTGTTGAGGTAGGGTTCCCGATATTCCGCTAGTGCCCTTTGGCTGGTTATTCGCATCATTGTTGAGCCATGCTGAATAGTGTTTCCTCTTGGGGTGCTGCTTCAGGAGACATCGGTCATTTCAGTGGCACCCATGAGGTCCCTTTTTCTGGGCGGCGTCCGCTCCAAATCAACGTCAAGGGTTCTTCTGAACAACTGGGGTGCCACTTGTTTAGATTGACGCCTTTTTTGGGGTTGCTGGTAAAGGGGGATTACTGGTCGGGGGTCCCCCCCTTTAAAGAATTGCTGCTGGATGAGAGCTCACAATCCTGAGTTGCCCAAAGGACCCAGGAATACAAGGTTAACCTTTTGGGCCCTTGATTCCATTGTGGGCAAGGCCAAAGGTCGATTCTGAGAACAGGGTTCCACCTAGGGGAATGAACCACCGTATTCCTATTCCTGTACACCCTGGGATTACGCCGCGCCCGTTGAGGAATCATCCTATGCTAGCCTATTTCTAGATACAACCCAGTATTTATGTTTATTTGGGATTATGTTGGGCAATTTCCCTAGGGTGTACTCCCAGGGTGCAACAGGCAAATCCTTAGAGTTTAAGTCTGCCTTGGGGGATTCCAACAGAGACTAAATAAGCTACAAGAACCAGGGGTTCAACTCTCCCGCCAATTCAACCACCAATTGGCCAGGGGCCACTGGAATCCCGCATCAAAGCTTGATCAAATTACTGGTGGTGGTTTCAATTGAAATTGCCACTGTTGGAGCTTCCAATCCCCAGAAACCACCGACTACAAACACCAAGTACTTGGATGATCAGCCAACTTCGTAAGTAGCTTATGACAATGGTAAGGGGACCAACCCCAGTTACTCAAGTCATAACCATGGTAAAACTCAACTTACCTGACGTTGGTTGATTATCGAATTCGTGGAAAGCTGGAAAGAATTGCAGGGCGATTCGCGCGTCTTCGTCTTTCGCCGGGCCGCGCTTCTTGGCCACCCATCCCACCGTGAAGAGCAGGTGCCTCGCTCGCTTTTTTTTCCCAGGGTCTATCCCTAAAAGGGGTACATACCCCTTATAAAGTGGGATGGAAACCAGGAAAGCCAAGGGGTATGAACAAGGGATAGGTCATCCAAACGGACGGCCGGGATCTGGACTGGATATCCCATTCATCCGAGAACAACCCTTGGTTGCTGTAGCGCCCCCTCTGCAAAAAATGAACACTTGTTGTGGCCTGGTCTTTTGAAAATCCGAATTGCTTCAACCAAAAAGTTAAAGTCGAAAGATCCAACCAACTTGCCATACAGAACTGGAACTGAATCTTTACGTTGTCAACTAAACCGCACGGCTGTCGCGGCACGAGGGGCTCCGTTCACGAGAGGCTTTGATAAGGCATTCGCTTTCGTGTCGCGTACACGAATGCAAAGGTTTTAGTAGGGGGGTTCATGTGGCTGGTCTTCGCCTTTTCCTTGACAGCCTTGTGCGTAGCTGTCTTTGCTACCTAGGACTCCAGGTGTAGAGCTTGGCATCAAGCCATAAAGTGGAAACTTGAAAAAACAACCTCTGCAAAAGAGAGAACGACAAGTGCTATTGACAAGGACTCTTGAAAAACAAGTCCAACTCTCTTGAAACAAAAGGAAAAGGAGAGACAGGATCGAGCCGCTTTGTCTTCTTGTTAATGCTTGCTTTTGCATTGATTTGGTTGGTTGGCTGGACGAAGGTTGAGCCCAAAGGTGAGCCTAGGGGCCATGACGGAAAACTGTAGCCCCAGGCCGCTTTGTTTGAGAGCCTCGCTTGAAACACCAGAAAACGTCTCTATCGCATGAGCACAGACAGGTCTGGAACAAAGTAAGTCCAATGTCCGTCCCTTGCCTCGGCCTTCATGGAGGAACATAGGGCACACCCAGAAACAGCATTCCCTTGAGGTTAGCGACCACTTGCATGTTGCCGCAATCATGAACAGACCTCGGAATCAACTCATGTTTTGTGGGTTCTCACTGAATATCGTAAAGGGGGGTTCCACTTCCTTTCAACCAACTCACCTTTGGCTTTCTGGAAGGGAGTTCAACCACCAGGCTGGTGCCAACCCCCCCCATGTTGTTTCCCTGAAAAGAAGCAACAACGGAACAACTATTTATTTAGCCCCCTGGGCAGTTTGGCGTCTGATTCACGTGTTCACAGGGATTCCCAAAGTTGTTTATCTGCTGGTGGCCGCTTGGTCGCAGCCCTCTACTCAAACCAAAAAGCACCAAGAAAGCCGCCAAACAACAGAGGACAGCTGATGAAGGACAGTGGAATTCACCCAAACCACAAGCAAAGCACGCGGGAAAAGCAAAGACCCGAAACAACAAAGAACAATCAATCAATCAAACAAACAAACAACCAAACAAACAAGCAAGCAAGCCAGCATGCAAGCAATGCAAACGAACGAAACAACGAAAGCAAGCAAAACAAAAAAACAAGCACAGAAACAAACAAACAAGCAAGCAAGCAAGCAAGCAAGCAAGCAAGCAAGCAAGCAAGCAAGCAAGCAAGCAAGCAAGCAAGCAAGCAAGCAAGCAAGCAAGCAAGCAAGCAAGCAAGCAAGCAAGCAAGCAAGCAAGCAAGCAAGCAAGCACAAACACACAAACAAACAAACATATAACAAGAACCAAACAAACAACAAGAAGAACCAACACAATACCACGCACGGTGCAGGTCAACGGAGCAAACGTCGACCCCTTCGGTCCCTCTCGCAAACGAATCCCGGCCCCCCCCCCCCCCGCCTGGCCGCCTGGCGCCGCACCTGCAAAGGCACCGAGGTGGAGGCCTCTTGAAGCACCCGCTCCAGCTTCTCCTGTCAGAGGTGAGGTCACCAAGCCACCGCCCGGTGGCTTTTGATGTGCTTTGTGGTTGGGTGGAGGCCCGAAAAACTGCGCAAGTAAACTGACCACGGCCAACAAAACCATGGCAAGTTGCGGCAGATTAGACAAAAATCCTTTTTCCCGGACGTGCAATATTTAAGGCATCCACTGTAGCTCCACAATTGCTAGAAATTTGCATCCCTACCCCCTTGGCTCCTTCAATTTCCTATTTGGATGCTACCCCGAAAAGACACAACCCCCCCCCCACCCCGGCTGATCCTGCGCATTGGAGCAGGGCGTCATAGGATTCCGGAGCTCAAAATCTGCATCCAGACAGTGAGGTCAGTGCAAAGACCCTGACTAGACATTAGTCATTTTCTCCTGCGACCTTGTTTGTCGCATGCATGCGGTAGCACGAAGTTGCATTGGGCATGTTGTCTACTGATTTCTGCCGATCCAACCCCTTGGTGGGAACTATCATGACACGGGAGGACTACACCAGCCAAATTGTTCTGGGGACAAACTGAGGGATCTCAGTCCTGGGTTCGCATTAACTTGTGCAATTTGACAAGGGCAGGAATTGTGATCCCCTTTAGCCCGTCATAGATGCAACTGACCTGCTTCCGAGCCCCTCATTTCAGGTTCCTTGTTCCCGAATTTTCCGAGGCCTGCCAACAAACTAAAGCATGGCTGTGTTTTTTGGGCACGCCCCCTTTTGGTTGGTGTTAGCACGGAAACAAAAAGGATAACCGCCTTTTTTTTATTTTTGGTTGGGCCTTTTTGGGCGAACCCCTTTTTGGTTGGTGTCAACAGGGGGGCCAAAAGGAAAATCACATTTTTGGGGGCCCAAGCCTTGACAAAAAGACGAGCGCCCGCACGGGCCCTGGACGCGTCTCTCCTGCTGACTCCCCCTCCGCTTCAAGGTGCCCCTCGCGGGCTTGGCCTCACGCAGGCTGAGGCCAATGGGTTGGATTGAATGTTGGTCCCTTTAACACGATCATTAAAATCATTAAAACTAGGCTGGAAAAAAGGGACCCCAGCAACAAAATATATGTTGGAAACAAAGGGACCCCAAAAAATGCAAAAAAGCAAAAAGGGGAGCTAATTCTGGGGAAGTAAAGGCAACCCTGAGATGATTACTGCAACTCCTTTACAATAGGCAACGTGCAGCTCAATTCGAGCGATCAGCTTCACTGATTTGCAAGGGCCGCGTGGTATGTACAACACCAACTTGTTGACCAACAAGCCTCCTTCTGCCCTCAAAGTGGAGCCCAAATGAGGCTTCCTTCAACAACCGGTGGTCTCAGCAGCCAACAAGCCCGCAGATAGCGGCAAGCTGTTCTGGTTCTAACTTCAATCACAGACGGGGGGAGGTGCCACTGTGCAGCAGCAGGGTGCTGTGCTGCAGGCCGAGACATGCAGAGTTATGCAGGGTGCCGTTGCAGGGTGCTGCTGCAGGGTGCTGTTACAGGGTTGTGCAGCAGGCCGAGACTCAGAGTTGCGCAGAGTGCCGTTGCAGGCGTCTTCCGGTCGTAGTCCGGGTCTTCTGGCCATCATCTCGAATTGGCGAAGCCCTCTGTGAGGCGGCGCGTTAAGCAAATCCACAAAACATCCGGCAAGCGAGTGCGAATGTCGCAATATTGTCTTTGCAGATTTGGGCGGAGCACTCTGTTGTAAGAGCTACTTTGGCCGCTCTGCCCGGCACGTTAAGCGAATCCGCCAAAACATCGACTCTGAAAGGCAGCGGGGTTGGGATTGGTACCCTTTTTGATGCTTGCCTCAGTTCCCCCCCCCCCCCCAAAACAAGAAAGCATTGGCACCCTGTTTCTGGTTGCTTCATTTCCCCGTCCCCCCCCCCCCTCAAACAGAAAAACAAGAGAAAGTATTGGTACCCTTTTTATGGTTGCTTCATTTCCCCGTCCCCCCTCAAAAGAAGAAACAGCATCGGTACCCTTTTTATGGTTGATTCATGTGCCCGTCCCAAGAATAGTTATTGAAAGAAAGGGGGCTTTCAAGGCACCCTCTTTAAAAGCAACAAAGTGAGTAGCCCCAGCTCCGGAACGGCTCCCTTCCAACAACTTACTTCCTAAGTTGAAGTAATAAGTAACAGAAACAAACCTCCTCTTCACCACTAAAATCGTCCAACCCCCCAAAAATATTGAGTTCGTGAACTCAGGAAGTGCGACTAGCCATGGTCAGTTGGATGGTTTGCCCCGCGCCTTCAGCATCGCCGGCACCTCAGAGAGCTTGCAGCGCACGTTGTCGTAGCCCGCCTGGCGGTCTATGTCTTAACAGGGATCCTTACATTATACACCTGAACATTGCCGTGTAAATTGTGGTTTCCCCTTATTTTGGTGGAAAAAGCCATGTTTCAAATGGGCAAAACGTATCTTTTAAGGAGCCCTGCTTAAGAGAAACCCATGGCACAAACTTGGGGTGTCCGAGCCGTGTCCATGTTTGGAAGCTCCCAAAGTGGCAGTTCTTAACCGAAGATTCCCGGTAATTTGATCAACTGTTGCAGGGGAATTCCAGTAACCCCAAACTGGGCTGCTCAAAGGAGACTGAGGAAACGCAAAGGCAACAGGGTGGGAGTTTGGATCATAGCAATGGGTTGCTCCAATTCTAACCTGGAACTTTTGGGTAGCAACTTGGCCCCAGAAAAAACAACTCAGGGAAACTGCTGCAAAACTTGACGTTGTAGGGAAGCAGTGATCCAAAGGTTCTGTTAGAAACAGTAGTCTTCCAGGAGGTTGTCCAAAAGGCTGAACTTATGTGTATCCATCGTGCTTTTGTGTGAAGGAATCCCATTTCACGAGTTCGAAACGGTTGGCTTGATAGCCTGGTCAAACCAAAGCGCAAGCCAGGCTTCCCCTCCTGATTGTTTGGGGTGCCCTGGTGGCAAAACTATCCAGCAGGACAGAAGGAATATGTTTGGCACGGGTCCATCAAACATGACCTTTGATTTCCAGTCCACCCCCTTTTCCCCAAACCACAAACGAACGGCGAAGCCAGCCGGTTGAAAACCAAAGCCCTCGCGGTGATACACTACGACATGCTGGGAGGCTTCCATGCTAGCTCAAAGGTATCCTTCTGCAAAAATGACACGAATCTAAAACCTGACATTAGGAATCCGCAAGCAAAGGGCCTGCACCACGGTGTGCTGGTCTTAATAATCACCAGCAAACCCAATTCGATTCCGGCGTGAAAACTGGGTGGGCCATCCCCAAGATGCTGTGGCCACCTTACTGATTGGGTCATCATGGCAATGTTGACCCCGGATTAATAAACTCGTCCCATTATTAGAGGGGTGTTCCCTCCAAAAGTGGTCTGAATCCCCACTAAAAGAATTGAGACACACCCCGATCAAAATCAACCAGGCAGTTATTAACCCGGGGTTTCACTTACCATGATGTCTTTCTATGGGGTGTCCTCTTTTAGTGGCGATTCAGACCACTTTTGGAGGGAACACCCCACCCTTCTTCTGGGACAGTTTATTTATCCGGGCTTAACATTAACAAGAAACAAAGTTTAACGTTCAGTGGGTTAAATGGAAACTACCATTCTAAACACTAAAAGGCTAAAAAGCTAAGGAACCGGATGGCTGGGAGCCACCAAGATAAGCGGACGAACGGCTGAACCGCCGCTCCGATGGCGGAGCGCCGCGCGCCGCGCGCCCGCAGGAGCTCGCTGCCGGAGGTCAAGTGGGGCACCGCCGCCACGTTGCCGCCCTTCCCCAGCACCGAGACGAAGCGATGCACCTGGGACACCGCCATCTATATGTTTCACGGATATATGGGTGGCTCGTATCTTTAAAGTTGATATGTACCCCTATTTTTGGGGTGGTTTTGATTGGAGACCTAAATGAAAATACATGTTCGATCTTACATCGAATTGGCAGTGACTGTATCGTGGTTGTGTTTGTGGCAGAATTGAATTTCTGAACCGTGGCACACTAAGAGGACTACAGGAAGCCCTGATTTGGCTATATTGGGTGCTTTGTCTGGCATACATCACCGCTTTTGTTTTCTCGCAGATTTATGACGATCCTGAGCCACTCCTGAGGTGAGAAACATGTGCAAGACAGATGCTTGTCCCAAATGAAGGATCCTTAAAGAGAATGGGGCAGGTACACTTAGAACCGCGATAAGGACGGCAGGAACATCTCTCGGATGTCACATCTCCATCTGGGTATGCAAGAAGAGGTGAGTACGTCTTCACAACCCTTGGTACAGTTGGAACAAAGGTTGCTTTTTGCAGCCCCCGCTCCGTACTAAAAGTAAACAGAAACAAGAAAACAACCTTGCCAAGAACCGTGAATAACCGGTTGAACATGAGGAGATACCAGGGGTTGGGTGCCTTGTTGTGCAAACAATGCCAAAAAGAGGACCAAACATCAAAACAAATGGGAGTGCCTTTTTGTCAAGGGTAGTCCCTTGTTGTGGTTTTAAAAGGGAAACCAAAAGCACACCCAAATGCCATGCAAATGGAGTACTTCCCCCAACCATCCTCAATACGCCCTTCAAGCATCCTGCGGGAGAGGCCGTTAAGGGGCCATAACTCTTCCGTGGCTCCATCGGTATTGAAGCGGGTTTCTGTTCTTGAGGGTACACCTGTGTGGGGTGGTGTGAAAGAAAAATCAAGAGGAAACCGATGCCATTTCAGTTTTGTTCTTTAGTGCCCGATTGGGTGGTGACGTTACACAAAAACAAAGGAGCAAGCTCAGCAAACCTGTTCCGCCATGTTGGGGGGGTCCAACCCAAAATAAGACATGGTATGAGAATGGTCCAAGCCCAGAACCATGTATGGAATTACACAAACCGCGAAAGGCACCGCCTGGCAGGGGGATTCTGGGTTCTGACTGCTCTCGAGGATGAGGCGCGTTGTCGTAGGCGATGTATGGCTGGGCGCACTCTTGCCGCTTCTTAAAGCCGATGAGCCACCGCACCAGGCGGCCTCGGTAGCCTGCCAGCTGCGTCTCGATTTTTTTTTGGCCCAGCGGAAACACAAACCCAGTAGTGAAATTGGTTCCCTTTAAAACCAAGAAGGGACAATATCTAAGTATTCATTTCAGCAAATGGAAGTAGATGTTAGCCCTTACGCTTCACAACAAGTAACCAAACTTTTAATTCAGCATTGGAATGAGTCGTCCCAAAAAGCCTAAAGTCCAGGAACTCAGGAAGTGAGCTATCTCAAAAGTGGCTCCAAAAAATGATCAAACCGGCTGAGGGAAGAAGAGAGATCCTCACTTCGCGAGAGGAGTGGCAAAAACGGTAACCCAACTTCTTTCTTTAACACCAAAATGGTTAAGACCCAAACAATTCGAAACGGAGCTCGAGTGAGGATCCACCGGCTGACGGGAAACACTTGGCAATCCCTTGTTCAATCCCTCCATGTGCTTAAGCCCCCCTGGAAAAAAAAAAAAAAACAAGTATTTCCGGTAGTGATAGATTCCCTTTACCACCAACAGGGGCAAATAACAAACATTCATTTCAGCGAATGGAAGAATCCCTGCCCCTAAGGCGCTAAGTGCAAACAACTCATGGGCCTGGCTTGGGGTCATCGAGCTTGGGGTGCTCGATATGCATATCCAGCACGGCGGCGCGGCAGAAGCAGAAGGCCAGCTGTGCCAGGTAGGCCCCCTGCAGATCGATCGGTGCCGAGCCGCGCCGGGCAAAACCCATTCGCCCCCAACCGCCATTTTGCAGATTTGGGGGATATACGTTGCCACTACTTATGTATGAAATAACTGGTCGGGGATGCGTCCTTGTTGAAGCAACTTTCCAGGATATGCGATCTACCCAAAGATGTGATGAGCTTTGCTTCTGAATGTTTCGAGCCGACCCTGTGCCGAGAAGACGTGGCTGACTCAAAGACTTGTTGAGTGTCTTGTAATTGGGCCGATCCTATGTCATCCGCCCAGGGGGTACATAGCTGTCACCTTTGCTTGTTAGCAGGCCCAGGTTCCCTGAGACATGGCTGGCGCTATGTCAAAATATCGCTGTGTATTTGTGCACTCTCCTGACTTACGCAAGATCAACCCATTCATTGTTCTCCCTGCCTCCCTTCGCCACGGCTCTGATTCACTACCAATTACAATTAAACGCGATGTGAGCTTAGCACCGGATCAAGCAGGCAAACACCTAGGTCTTACCTTGGCTGGAATTAGGACCCCAGCAAAAAACATATTGTTGCCTGGTTAGATCAAAACAAAGGGGGACCCCAAAAAAGCAAAAAATACCAAGAGCCCACAAGCCTTTGGTCAGAGTCCGGGATCCGAAAATCGCCACCCGACAAAACGCTCCGGTTGGGCGTCTGGCGTGCAGCAGCACTGACAAGATCACCTCAGACGCAAGCCGATCCAGAAGCCCAAAGGCCATGGGAAGAAAGGGCACCGCTTGTATTTGAAAGGGAAACCCTTCCCCCAACAAAAGGAAAACAAGTGCCACTGGGCAGCTGGACCAGCTTCCAAGTCGTAAAAAGTAGATGTCAAAATTGCTTTCTAGGTAAGTGAGGGATGAATTTCATCAAAATTGTAGAATTGCGCCAGCTACTCATGAGGCCCGCCCACCGCCCAACCTGAGCACCTATAGGAGTCAATCCCTTGTTTTGCACCCGTTATTCTAGAAAACGGTTTGGAGTCGCTTTTCGCGGGTTTCACCAGTTCTTCCCCCTGTAGGTTCATTTTTAGTACTCTTTTTATATACAGGGGTGGTTTCACAGATTCGCCACATCCAAGCCGTCTGGAGTCGTGCTTCCTCTTGCCGTGGTTCCGCAGTTGTTCCTTTATCCTCCAAGGGACGCCTTGGGAACCCCATGAGGCCCTGAAGCGACTCCGAGGTTGGGAGCTTGGGGTATGCGCAGGTATGTGGGCGGCCTCCTGGAAGGTACGGCGCGGTCTCCGTTGTGCGTTTCGGATTTTCACGGGTGGTTCCCGCTTTGGTGAGGATATGAACTATTTTACGTGGTTCTACCGACCAGTGGGGATGAAACCAAAGTTAACATTACATTTGTTAGGAACAGCTGGCGCATGGAATGCTAAGGCTGGCTTTAGTGACGCCAAAGTCCCCGCCCCAAAACCTGCCGCTCTTGGTGGCCTGGTATTGAAGAGAACCGCAAGCGCAAATACAAAGGAAGATCCCACAGATCGGGTTGTTGGTGCTGTTTATGATAAACAAATAAAAAAAACAAGTATAGTGTATATACATATATATATATAAAGACATACATATATATATATACAGAACCAAACAAATAATAATAACACACAAGATGAGCTGATGGATTGGAGCAGGTGTTGTGATTGAACCAATAAACAGCAAGTCCCAACTGTGGGGCTTCAAGCAATGACACTGGCGGGGGGGGGGGGTCTCCATTGAATTACTCGCCCAGTCCGTCTTGAATCACTATACAACTCACTTGAGTGGATTGGCCCATTAGAAAACGCCCAAGCACGACATGATCGTGATGAAAGGTGATAAGCTCAGTTGTCTTGCCCCAATAAAATCGCTCAAACGCGACTGACATGAGGGTGATGAAAGGTGATAAACTCAGTTGCACAAAGGACACACAAGGTGACTCAGTGTTTTGGAGCGTTAACGCAAAATTGCAACCCGAAATAGGCAGACCAAAAGGTCAAGCGATCGATTCGCTTTGCAAACCCCCCCTGCTTTGGCCTGAGGGTTTTTGTAATACACCCTGGGATTCACTATACTGGGTATTGACCCCATTTCGGCAAAACCGTGCTATATTGAACCATTCTGGGTCATTTCCCAAGGGTGTAATCCCGGGTTGTAATACAAAAACGCTCAGATTTGGGGGAGCAATGAAACTATGAAAGGACAGCATAAAGCTATAAATGAAGCTCTTCAGGGGTTGTAATACCCTCCGAAATTCAGGGGCAAAAAGTTGGCAAACGAGTGTGTGTGTGTGTGGGTGTGTGTGTGTGTTCTTGTCTTGCTGGTTCTCACAATGCAAGAAAACAACCAGGGAAAATGGCCCAGCTAGAAGCCCGAGGCGCCACCAGCACGGTGCTCAGCCAAAGCTCGAGCGCCATGACATAGAGGAAGCTGAGCAGCAAGAGTACCAGGAGCTGGCAGATCTCCAAGTTGTTCCTGGGAGTTGAGGCTTGATCGTCAAGTTGCTGGTACTCGACTCGAGTTGACCGGTTAGAAAAAAAGTGACTCAACTACTGGGCTACATGAAGAAGAGATCCGACGAAAAGCTTGCTCTTGATTTGAATCTGGCGATTCCTTTCTGAGCTCTGACCGGTCCCCTACCCGTGTTTCTCATGAACCCCTATGGCATTCCAAGAACCACCCCAATACATCAGCTTGGCAAAGTTTGAACCCTGAGCTTAGCCCACCAAAGCGGAGTTCGGTCCAGGTGGCGGCCCATTCGCACGAGTGACATGCTTCCCTCTCGTTTGGTTTGGGCTGGTGTAACAGTGATCCGGTAGCGGACAATTCCATCTCCAAGCCAATCCCCATACCACCGATCGAATTCGCCTGCAAGTTACTTTGGATGGTCTCAAAGTTGAGGACCCTCAAAACGGTTGGCTTCCTTTAGGCGTCCGCTTAAAACCAACCCAAAGCGGACCCCTCATCAAAAACACACCACTTGACCAGTGATTCAAGGCCAGGGGGCTTTTGCAGATTGCTCCGACTCTAGTATCACCCAGTAAGGCTACAAAACATGTTCAGCCTCTGTATCCCTAAAGTTACTAAAGGCCCTAAAGTCTAAAGAATGCATAATTTTGGAGGCAGAAAAGCGGCACGGAGGTTCCTCCTGCTGCTTTCCGTTTAAGTCAGACCTGAAAAGGGCTTCCCAAGCTCCCTGCAGCAGCCTACGTGGCAGGGGTTCCATGCGACCTTTCAGGATGGGGATTCAAAATAGAGTAGCATGCGAATAAGGGTACCCTCAAAAAAGACCACGCAGCAGCGCAAACTGTTCAACCATCGTGCATTTCAAAATCAGCAGTTTCCCTCAACATTTCGGGTAGCTTTCTGGAATCAATCGGATCCCTGGAATGAATTGGCTGCCTGCGCAAAGAGGTAGGGTTCGTGGAAAATATACAGGTTTCCAAAAAGAAGAGAAGAGAAAAGACCCGACCAAGTAGCACCTCGGGGCTGAACCCGACTCCAAGGTTTCGAGGTCAAGGGGCAGGAGGCCATACCAGCGCCGGTCTGAGGGCTTCAGCACCACGTGGCCCAGCAGCGACAGGATCAAAACCTAAGGCAACTGAGCAAAACGTTTCTTGCGATCGGCGCGCTAGGTAGGGACTGAGAGATAATGAACCCGGCTTTGGTCCCCTTAAAGGAAACCACCAGTTGGATGGTTATAGGGGTGATTCCCTCATTCCCTGCTGAGCACCAGCAAGCTGTCCTGTTCGCTTGTAAATGGCGGCTGGCTACTGAAGCGGTAAGTAACCCTGTTGCAACTAGTAACCCTAGCAAAGGAACGGAACTATTTGGTTACCTTTTCTGCATTTGCAGGGGGAGAACCAAACATAAACGGGCTGAGGGTGGAATCCGGAATCTACAGAATGAGCGGGTCAAACATCTGGGCTAACAGGGAACATTCCGAAAACATTCGGACGAGAATAGATAAGCAACAATGGATGCCTGGAGAATAGCGCAATCACTTTGCGTCGTGTGGTCACATGCCGGCATGCGTGTGCGGCCTGAAGCTCAGGGAAGGCGTTGCAAGCCTAAACGGCATTTAGTTTCAGAACCAAAAGAGTAAGTTGTTGAAACGCACATATGCAGAGTTTATTGAGCATGGCACCAAGCATCTGACAGGGCCCTTAAGCCCCCAGGAAAAACAAACATATGTCCAGCAGTGATATATCCCCCTTCAAACCAACAAAGCATATGATATGTACTTAAGCAAATGGAGGATAGTGATCCCACGGGGTCTTCATCGGTGGAATCTTTCTGCCTCTGCGCTTCCCAGAAACTAAGCATATGGTAGGCGATGTGATCCCACCAGTCGATCGACCAACTGGATCCAGAGCGATATCCTCAAACCTACCAAGTGGTAGCTCACTTGCCCAGTGTTCCTGAAAATCCAAGATGAACATGGACATGGACCAAATCGAGAAAGCCAAAAGGTTAAAAGGTCGATTCGTTTTCGGCAAGTGCAGTATCGGAACACACATTTCTTCGAATCAACGTGCAGCCACTTCAAGGGCGGCATGTTGAATTCTATGGAGCCAACTCTGGGGTACACCAAAAACCACTTCTTCAGATTCGGCTTCATCAGAGTGTTTCTCAAAATGGGGACCCCGGGAAATGGTCGGTGTTGCGCTTTCATTCCCTTGAAACCAGCTAACACTGGGGGGGTCCCCTATTTTGAGAAACCCCCGTATCCAGTCTACCCTCCTTCCAACAACCCTGGAAGTGGAAAAGAAGCTTCCCCAAAAGGAACGGCGTCTTCCAAGAACCTCCTGTCAACTTCCATGATGGTTGGGGGGCTGGTACCCTAAATTATCTCATAACCTATTTTGACCAAGCACGGGTCGAATCAGTCGAGCGGCGCAGGCGATTAGCAAGAAGCGCTGGTAATGCTCAAGCGGCACCACCTGTGGCGGACGGACTCCGACAAACATGTATATCCCTCAAACATCCCTCGACTTCAATCAGCTGGTGTTAAGTTGGGCAGGTGGAACATGCTTCAAACCAACAAACAAATGAATACTCCCCTGAATGTGAACATGGAACCCAAAACGAAATCCTTCAAAAAAAGGCTCTTAGGGTTCTCGGGTTCTGCGACCACACGGAACCCAAATTCCAGAAGTTCCCAACTGGTTTTGGAGCCCATAGGCCGGGGTCTTTTGTGGAGCGTACCTGGTCCACTTTCAGCTTCCCTGACGCAGGAGAGGGTCAAAATGTCATTTTCGGAGGGCGCCCTTCTTGTCTTGTTTCTGTTTTCTTCTCTTTTTACTTTCTAGATCTTCAACCTGTAAGTTTCTTGGGACAACGGTGATGCTCCTAGCAACCTGCAGGAACAAAAGCGCCTTCGTGGGGTCCCTACCTGGCTTCGTGAGGTCCCTATGTCCATCCTTCGAGCGCCTCGTTTCAACGGCAAGCCCGACGCCCGGAGAAAGGAGTTCCGCTGCGGCCTCTGCCGAGATCAGCAGGAGCTTGCGGGCCGAGATCATCGCCTACGGACGCATGGCAGCCAGGAACTGCTTAGGTTGACGGGCAAGACGACTTGAAGGCTAGGTCCTCCAGAAGAGAGGATAGAATAAGGGTACCAACTCTTTGCTGTAGTCGATTTTACTAGGGGAACCCTCCCCCCAAAAAGGGGTAAAAGGGCACTTCCCCGAGACCTAGAAGGGGTGATCAGGCACTTAGTAAGTGGTTAGTAAGCCTGTCGATAACATTTTATGACCCACTGAACAGAGACTTATAACCCTGGTGAGTGGGTTGACGGTCATTACCCACTTACCTGACGAACCATTCCCCGGCCCCTTTTTGGACCCAGGTGCCGCCGAGACTGCCGCGACTGCCGCCTTTCAAAGGAGATACCAAAAAAGGGCCCCTAACTTTGACAGGGCGGAAGGCTTCCTTGGAACAATGGAACGACCCGTAAGCAAGTCGAAGACTTCCTGTTCGCCAAGATGTCTACTCACGTGGCCTCCCCTCCCCATGACTAAGTTTTAACTCCCCTGCCCCTTTGCCGGGTATAAGAGCCAAACTACCTAGAATGCGGGAGATCTACAAATTTTCTGCACCGAAGCTAGGGTCGTTTTTCTTTTCTTTTTCGCGGGGCAGGAGGGCTGATGGGGTTGGGATCCCGTGGTTAGGAGCATGGTCCGGCATGCCCCGTAAACGTGGATGTCTTGGCTGTGGGACGTAGGGTCCGTCTCAGAATAGGGGACCCCTGTTTTGGATGGTTCAAAGAGAAAACACCTAGAGGACGCAACAAAAACATGAGGCACGTCCAATTGGCCAAGGCAATCCCCTGTACGGCGGGTGAAGTTGGAACAACTGCGCCGTTCAGCTCTCAACTCTGGGCCCATCCGGAAGCCCGCCTCCCACCACCAGCGGGTGTAGTTGTAGCCCAGCAGCATGACTGCATAGCGCCTGCGGGCGCCACCGGCTTCAACGCCACAAACTCGGAGCAAGGACCGGAGCCTTTGGCCCGTATGCTCACGTCCTTAAGCGATTGGCCAGAAACAACTCAGCTTAAAAGATTCCTTAGGGCCTTTGAAGCCCGAAGACCTCAAAACCCAAAGACCTCAAGAAGGGACTATGGTTCCTGCTCCCGTTTTGTTGTGGGAATGCGTGGATCATCACTCCCTTTTATAACTGACCATAGATGTGACGGATATCCCTGGTTGCAGGACCTGCTAGCTTCGTTGCGCTGAAGGGGCTAAACCACGACCTCCAGGGACGCTTCTCCAAGCTCAGGTTGGGAGTTGCTGCGTCACAACCCCTCTGCGTGTTCAACGGTTTCGCTTCTTTGCTGCTTTTAAACATCACCCCAGTCAAGGGACACGAACAAAGGTGATGTGCCACTTACCAGAAGCCTAGCTGGCCCAGGGAAAACCGGCTGCCTCTATTGCATCCGCTGGACAATTGGAAAGCTAATGACCCCGCGCAAATCGCGGGAACGCAAAAACGACAAAAACACATGCGCAGATTCTGGTCCATATTTAGCCTACCCCGAAAATATAACATCTTCTGTTTTGGGGAGACCCCCAGCTTATGATAGGCAAGCGGCGAACAAATCATGATGTAAAATCTGTAAGCCCAGGGCATATTGACCAACAAACACATCCTTAAAACCCAACCCCCTCCGCCAACCCAGGAGACTTCGCCCACATCTGGTGTATTCACATTTACACATGTTATGCTTCTGTTCTATACTCAGTCTACCTATATATAAATATAATACATATACATATAGAAATATATATTTAAATGCAATAGGTGTGACTCAAAATAGGGAGCCCCTTTTAGCTGGTGGTTTAAAAGGCAACTCCCCTATTTCAAGACACCACCTTTTTCGTGTACCCTTTTGGAGTTAGGTTTGCCTGGGCAAAGGGACACCCACCCGTTTCTTGAGGGCTGCCCTTGAAAACAACACAATAAAATCAAAAACATACACAAAACAAAAAAACATAGAGGTTATGAGAAGTAAAAAACACACAAAACACATGGAGGTTTAAACAAATTATAGGTTCCAGTCTCGGAGGCCCCAATCAGGGTCTCCACCCCCTTTGCTTCTGGAGGGCCTGGCGAAGGCCTCGCGCTCCATGCGGGGGCGCTGGTACCACATCACGCACCTGGCCGCCCGTTGTTTTTGTTGGTTGGTGCGTGTTTTTCTTTGTTTTGTGACTTTGGCGCGAGAAGGGTCGAGCAGTAGCCAAAAAGGTGCGATTTCTGATCTACATATTTTTGTGGACGGCTCCAATTTGGTCGAGAAGCAGCCCAAAAGCTGGGAGTATGTTGTCAGCTGTTCCATTGCCCTAAGGTGCACATTTATGGGCAAAGGTGGCTTGGACGCCTTTGAGGAGCAACCCAGGCTGGGGTCCTATGCATTCCTTCAGATTTGTCAAGTGAGGGCCAAAGTTGGCCCAGATTTCAGGGTACACCAAAATAATGCTTTCAGATTCTGATTAATGCGCAGCGAACCTTGAAATGAAACATAGTGTCTGAGAAGACTCCAGCTTTGCACAGTTGCAACCGTTGACGCAGAAAGACGGAGACAAAACTGGTGGGTTTGACCTTTCTAGCAGGGATCTCAAAAGAAAAGGAACCTCTTGCTTGGAAACTGATCAGCCAACAGTGCGTTTCTAAGGCCCTGGCGGATCAAGGCACCGTTTTCGCATACCCCAACCCGCCCGAGGACTCTGTTAGGTACCATTCTGCCAAACATGAACATGCTCAAGCCCCTTTTCCGGAAAACAACTTATGCCAAAGTCCAGGATCTGTGCTTCAAGCCATGTTGTTGGGCAACCCCTCGTGCTTTCCGGACTCCCCGTGCAGCGCTGTTGTTTGCAACTCATGTGTGTTCTTGGCATCGCCCCCGCAACAAATACAAAGCACCAAACCGGAAAGATGCACATGAGTGGCTATTGCCCTTCACTTGTTGTTCCCTACAGGCAAACAACAAAGTCATGCCTGAGTCACTCCTTTGTCTCTGTGACCATGTGTTCCCCCATGTAAACGCCGATTCCAAGAAGTCACTCCTAAGTCACACCTCACTACTGGGAAAGCACAACCCTTGGGCGACTGAGACATGGCGAAATCAGAGCAAAGGCGCGAGCAGGCCAGCGGCCAAAGCACCCAGGTCAAGCCCCCAGCCAGCGCCAAGTAGTGCAAAGGACGCCTCAGTGCCGGGAATAGGGGGGGGGTGGCTCTGTCTGCTTAACTCAGCCATTTCCGTTGGCTCCCATTTTTTGACAAGGGTCCCCCCCAATTTCAGTGCTTGAAAAGGGTCAATGGCCACTTGATAGTGCCTTTTTGAGGTCCCCTCACCGGGTGGCTCTGACAACCATGGATCAAAAGCAAGAGCATGGTTGAGTTTGGTCCATAACTCAGCTGCCCAAAGGACCCGAAAACACAAGGCGGACTTTTTGGGGGCATCTCCAAAAGAAAAGGGTCAAGAGGTGGATTCGCTTTGGTTGCCGCTGAGTTTTATATGGGTCCTTGAAATGCGTAAGGTCCGGGGACATATTGCCTTTGTACCGTTAGGACCCTTCAAAAGCACGGTCGAACCTCCTTTTCCGAGGGTGAGAGGACTACGGGCCACTGTGGGCCACTGGGCTCAGGAACCAAAGGACCTGGACATTGAAGGTCAGGCGAATTTAGGCTATGGTCGAACCAAACCTGGAGCAAACCGGAAAACGCCGAAGCTGCGCAAAAGTTGGCGAACGTCGCCCGCTTCGAATCCCAGCGAGGCCCGCGCTGGGCGGTGCACTGCACCGCACCGCTGTGGTAGAGCACCTCGAGCTTCACATTTCGAGCGAGGCTCGGAATCAGTGGAGCCAACCCCATGGCCAGTTTCCCTTCAACAGAAACCGCAAGAGATGGATCAGCTATCTCGTTGGAATGTATGCCTATCTTGGCTCATAGAGGCTTAGTGGCGCAAGTTTCGCGGCCGTCTTGTCATATAGAAATGCTTCAAAAGCCAATGTGTCATGTCTCCGCAGCATGGTGTCGCCTTTTCTGCTCTTCTCTCCAAAGGACGGCGTTCTCCCAGATACTGTTCTTCTAGAATCCCAGTAAAAAAGGAGGGGTTATTGGCCCAACATGAAAATCATGGGGAATCAACCCCCACAACAGGGTTGCTCCCCGTCGATCCTCTTCGCTTCAAGGGTAGAACTTTGGCACCTGGAAAAGGATCTGGTCGCAGGAACCGGGTCTGACAGGGGGCTTGGGCTACTGCGTTCTTCGAAGTCGAGGCGTTTTGGTGTTCTTCCGGTTGATCCCTTCTCACATAACCAAGAGGCCTGGAAGCCTATGGGTTAATCTGGCCTGGCTGTTGAGTGAGACCAAAAGGTCAGCTCGATTCGCTTGGGGCAAGTGAGTCAATAATAGCCAGCAAAACCAGGTAGGGGAAGCCTATGGAAGCAAACGTCCCTCGCTTCAACGCTGACCTTCGGAGGGTTGTGCAAGACTGCCGTGGTTTTGGTGCAGCCCGATAACAACTTCCATGCCTGTTGGGAAAACGATACTTGCTGTTTTGTCCCCGTCCCTATCAGCAAACATGGCAAAGACCGCATATTTTTGGGGTTGGCTGAAACAGCAGATTTCGAAGGCCCCTCTCCTGACCCCCCTCCCCTGTTTCCCCGAAGTAAGACTCTAATCCTAATTTTGGGAAGCAAGGCCATTTCAAATTGTTCAGACTACAGCTTGTGGCCACAGTTTTACAATTCCAAAACCCGAACTATAGGTAACCTGCCACCAATTCACGTGGAACCTGCCGTTTGGGGGTTCCTGGTTTGGACCATGTTCCTTTTAAAGGGGCCGGGTCCCTGCCAGGTTCCATGCAAGAACGGTAATGCAGCTAGGTCCTCCAGTAGAAATGTTATAAATATGCTGGGTACCCTTTTTTCTGTACTTTATTTTAGTAGGGCAACCCTCCCCCCAAAAAAACAAGCTAAAAGGGCACTACTACTGGGGGACCTAGTTAAATTACGGTGAGCCGGTTTTACCCCCCGAAATCCGTGCCATTGCTCGCGCCGGCCAAGACACCCACGTGGAGCCCGACTGCACGCAAATGATCCCCCGGGCGCAGCGCCGTGCCGCCGCGAACCCGAGGCAGTACCTCAGCTGCGAAGAGAACGTGGGACTGGCGGGTCCCATGGTCCCATCTGACGCGGGAGGGGTGGGGCGGGGGGGGGGGGGGGCGAAAACTATTTTATAGTCTTTCAACCAAAGGGAGATGGAAGTCTAAATGGAGATCTCCAGGAGTCGCAATCCCCCCTCCCCCAATTCCATTCTTTTACGAGGTGGGGATGTCCATTTGTGTGTGTGTGTGTTTGGTTGGTTGGTTGGTTGGTTGGTTGGTTGCTGATTGGTTGATTGGTTGGTTGGTTGGTTGGTTGGTTTTGATTGCTTGTCTTGCGTTGCTTCTTGTTCTTGAGGGGACCCTTTCTTCAAAGCTGGCTTGAAGGGAAAGCACAGGAATGTCCCATTCTTCTTTAAACACCACAATACAAAAATGAACCGACTTTTACACGGGTCCAATCAGTGATGTTTAGAATCGCCCTGTGACCAGCCCCACAAATTTGCAAGGCAGTGAGTATAGAGAGTTGCCTTTGGGTGCGTTTGCAGGGAAATAAAAGGGAGCCCGGGAAACGCCAGTTCAGGGCCAGTACCAAATAATTAGACATGATGTTCGTAAGGTGTTAATGATGGTTTTTAGTGCAACCAAGCCCAAAAGGGGAAACCGCCCTTAGCTTGTTTCTTGGTTCTGACAGGAGTCTACTTGTGTCTGTGTGCGTGTTGTGTGTGTGTGTGTTGTGTGTGTGTGTGTGTTGTGTGTCTTGGCGGGTGCCCTTCTCCGCATGGGTTAAAGCTGTTCCCCCGTAATTCTTTCACACGCCCATGCCCTCCCCTTACAGACATCTGAACATGGAACTCAAGAAACCAGCATTTTAAGATGAATCTCCTTGCTGGGCTGCCCTCAAAGCCCGCTAAAAGTCTAACTCTTAGTGGGTTAAATGGAAAGTACCACTAACCACTAAAAAGACTAAAAAGCTGAAAGGCTGAGGAACCGGATGGCTGGGAGCCACCACGCTTTGGGGGACGCCCTCTTGGGGCTCCCTGCGAATTGGTAGGGGGGTGTTTCACCCAAATGCCCCGCTCGCGTCAACTTCAGCCGCGGGGCAGCATCGCCGAGCGCAGCGGCGCGGTCTCCGTGAGGAAGCGGCGCCGGTGAAGCTGCAGCAGCCATTTGATCAGTAGCCAGGGCAGCGACAAAGGCGCCAGCAGGAAGCAGCCTGGGAGGGAGTCAGCACCCCAAATCGCCGGCCTTCTTCTTTTAGGGTGTCATGTCGACCCTCTACTACAAAAGGAGGTAGTTACCTTGAAAAACCAGGCTTCCCAAAAAATGCCCTAGAAAAAAGTGGGTATTTGGAGTAGGGGGCATTTCTTTCTCCAAAATTCCTCCAACTGACGTTTTTGAAGGGCTCCCTAACTTATAATTGAAGGGGGCCAGCTGGCAGCCCGGGGTTCGGGGAGCCATCTTCGGAAATCGCCAGGGACTAACATCGCTTTTGATCCACCAGGACCTGGACTCGCTGGTCGTAACATCCACTTGTACAGAGATTCGCCTGATAATGAGGTGGGGCTGTGTTTCGGGCCCCTAGGGCTGGTTTACTAACCAAAAGAAACAGGAGACTCAAAACTGCGGTCCAAATAAAGGAGAGCACAGGAGCAGTTGCGGTATGGGCAAGGGCTTGCATTCTCAAGCTGACTCATGTTGCAGAAACATTCTGTCGTGGTCCGTCCTATGTTTTGTTTGTGTCTTGCGTGTGTTCTGTGCGTGTTTCTCTGCGTACACCCGAACACAGAAACCAAATCTGGAAACCCCAAGGCTGTCAAAATGCTCCAAAGGCGGCAAAACCAACAAATGCCCCCGAAACGGTCATAGTCTAAAGCTTCATGGTGAAAATTATGCTTGCAGATTCTCGCCAAAGTCAAATTGAAAGCGCATGCCTTGTCATGCCGATATTCTTCCTGTTTGGCTTGATTAAAAAGCAATGCCTGTGCAATCCGGGTGACTTGGGGGACGCCCTGCCCTTTAAGCAGTCCAAGGTGCCGCAACTCATCAAGCAGCCGCGCGGATTCCTAAACCGCACGCGAGCAAATAAACTGAAGGGGGATCGACGTGCTCTTTTTATTTGGCCTTGTGGTTAAAGGATCGTATGCTTCGAACGATCCCTTCAATTTCCTCAACTTGCTGCAAGCAACTTAAAATCAGTACTGGGGGCCTCTGTTATTGTTTCCTTCCGAAGATGTGCAGCGAGCTGTCCTCGGATCCGCTAACACTAAACCAGCTAACAAGCTGGGAAAACCAATGGAACCGGACGGATGGTACCGAACTGCCAGATTCCCAAACCCGATAGGCACAGGACAGAGTCAAAGGCCCGCAAAATCCAAGCTGGTGACAAGCGCTGGGCCAACGGGGGCCGTTGGATTGCTTTAACTAGAAGCTAGTGAGTCAATTTTCCGGGTTCCAACTGATCTGCCCAGCCGCACCCAAGGGGGTCAAAACAGGACATGGGGCTGGGCAAAATACTCACCCACACACCTGAGATATGGAATGAACTCATCGTCGAAACAAAATATTCAGAACCAGAACTCCACGACGACTGCCTTTTGGACAGCGCTTGGGCACTTGGGGATCGGAGCAAAACAGCTGGAGTCGTAGATTAAAAAGCATGTGCGTAGAAGAATCTGCTGTTGTGTCCTTCTTTGGGGTTCTATTCCATGTTGATTTGCAGGCGGGGTATCCCGTGAATTTGTCGTTGGCAAATGGCGACCGGGAAACGGGCTGCCTTGGCCTGAGTGTACCTCAGCTTTGCCCCTCCCCCTTAAATTGCAATGCTGTTTGGATCCTGGTTCATAGTTGGCAAACTTGGCATGCAACATCATGTCATTCGAGAGAGGCTCGACATGCTGCATGATGGTCACCAACTCATGGTGTTCGGAAAGAAACAAAAAAACAAAAACATTCAGGCAACCCCTACGGCCACTCACCTTTTTGTCGCGCCGAGGCACTTCTTCCGCGCTCTGGCTCCCATGGATTCCGCGTGCATCAATGGCCAGCAAAAGCCCCAGATCCTCGCGCGGACCGCGCGGCTGAGGTGCCGACGGCGAACAAACGGGAAGAAGCAGGGTCTGATGGTAAAATTGGCTCGCCCTGTCTCTTCTTCACTTGGAAAAGGTGCCAGCTTGCTGGTCGACGGGGGAAATAACTGAAAGCCGGTGGTGCAGCAAGTTTGGTCAGATCTGGGCCAAAAATGCGATGGGGTCAGACGAGGTTCCCTATAAAAAGCATCCGCAGCCCAAGGAAACTCTCTGCAAGGCTAGGGGGCTTGGGATCTTAGGGCAAATTTTCATGTCCAACATCCCATGCTTCTTCATGCTTGGGTTTCTCCCTGGACAGAACCTAGGTCCTCCAGTAGAGAGGTTAGAATAAGGGTACCAACTTTTTTTTCTGTCGTCTATTTTAGTAGAACCCCCCAACCCCCAAAAAAAAGGGAGAGAAAGGGCACCTGGCTGGGGGAACCCTTTTTTCTGTAGTCTATTTTACTACGTAGGAGCCCTCCCAACCAAAAAAGAAAAGGGCACCTAGCTGGGGTACCTAGGAACACAAATCTGTTGACTCGGGAAAGCCCACCGGCGATCCGTCCTCTCATTGAAGATCTCCGTCATCTCCGCCTGCCGTGGGTCCAGTGAGTCCTCCCACCCGAAGAAGTAGACCTCCGCGCGGCACGCGGCACCGCCATGGAGCGCGTGGCACGGGGGGGCCACTGGTGGAAGTCTTCCAAGGGAAGCTCCCATGGAATCGCTGGAGGGAACATCGCCCATGTGTATTTGATGCAGAAAGGACAAGGGAATCTCTCCTTGGCAGTATTTTAAGAATCGGTTGGCAACAGTGGAATCAGCCAGCCTAGATTGGAAGAACCAGCAAGCAAGACAAGACAAGCCAAGCCAAGCCAAGCCAAGCCAAGCAAAGCAAAGCAAAGCAAAGCAACGCAAGCAAAGCAACCAAAGCATGCAAGCAAAGCGAAGCGAAGCGAAGCGAAGCAAAGCAAGCAAAGCATGCAAGCAAGGAAGCAAAGCAAAGCAAAGCAAGCAAAGCAAAGCAAAGCAATCCAAAGCAATCCAAAGCAAGCAGCCGGCCCATCAACAGGAATCAATGAACCCGACCAACCACAAATCTGCAGCATCATCCCAACTAAAAAAGTTGGACGCACCGAACGTCGCCTTGGTGAAGAACTCCATGGCCGAAGCCCATTGACGACATCTGGCCAGGCGCCAGCCTCAGGTGGGAGGGGCTGGAGGGTTGGGTGGGTGGGGGGGGGGGGCACCTTGGCACCAAAAGCACAAAGCAAACAGTTCCGACCGGACATATGACAAATGGCTGTAGGTCAAAAGGGGGTACCCAACATGGAACCCTGGTAAATGGAAACAAAGACTAAAACCTGCGTATCCCTACCTGTTTAAAATTGAGCCAGACCCAAATACCAATGGCTCCATACGAGAGTTCGGCTCGAGTTCTTGTCAATATTCTGCTGGCTCACTTCAGATTGGTAGAGCTTCGAGTGGCACGTGCTTGATCCCAAGCCAGGTTCCCGCAGTGCGCTCTGGTGGTGCCCCACTTTCCGCATCCCCAGCCATCCCCTCTTACCTCGCCAAAGGCGATCGCAAAAAGAAGAAGGCGAGCCACCAGGATTGGACACAATGTTGTTCAAAAGCGGGATACGACGCTCCGACGTCGCTAAAAAAAAAAAAAACGCCGCCCATACGCCCTCAAGGAGTCAACCCAACAAAAACCGGGGCAGTGATTTACACCAGCTTGTTTGAACAATAGCTGCTTGGGTGTGTGTGTGTGTTTTTAGGGGACGCCCCCAAATGGTGGTATTCCTTTTGGTCTCCCTTTTCAAACAAACACACACGCATACACCATTTGAACGTCTGAAAGCCAGGCCCACCCTGGCCACCCAAACGCATCAACGCTTGGATCCCTTCTTGGGATCCATCAAAACCATGAGCCCTTGCATAGCTCGGTCTCAGCAGTTTAAATAAAGGGGCACCAGCCTTTTGGCGGGTTTCATCCTGTCCGCATAGGTGTCCTTTTAGGGGACATAGATGGGTATCCCTGGCAGATGATTAAACCAGGCAACCCAGGCCAGGAATCCATCTGTTGTTCTAGCAACACGGCCATATCTCCGGTTCCATGGCCTGCCGTGAACGGGAGGCTAGCTTTGGGACCCACAACCTCCATTTGCGTCAGAACAAAAAACCCAGCACGTTTCGGGTAGTGATAGATTCTCTTTGACTTCAGAAAGGGGGAAAAAGCAATCTATTTTTTATGAGCAAATGGACAAGGACAAATCTTTTGGAGCCACAAGTCCCCACTCCGAGCGGCGCAGCTTGAGCAGCAGCACGAGACAGGGCAGCCATGCGCCCAGCAGCGGCACCAAAAACCAGCAGAGCAGCAAGCGAAGCTCCGCGCTCTCTTGGTACCCTGCCTGAGCTCGTGAGACATTTTGCAGGTGGCGACTCGAAAGGCAGAAAAGTTCAGCTGGAGCCCTTTTTTGGTAGGTTTGGTGGTAACCAACCAAAAAGTCTGCCAAACCGCTACTTGCCCACGCCCCTCGAGCGCCTCTCAGCCCTATTGAATTGGACTCTTGCCCCCCCCACCCCCGAGGTTACACATGAAGCCCTTGCTCACGGCAACCAGCCCAACACACGTGTTGGAGTTACCAACTGAAATGTCTGCGCTTCCTTTTGCTTAAGCCCGTAGAGAAAACAAAAAACAAATTGATAATAATAATACCTGCTTCCCCTGGAAAGAATGACATATTTCGTGAAATGCATTCCCTTTAAGACCAAACATGGAAAATAACATAATCTTCATTTCGGCAAAAGCCGGAATGGCAGACATCGCTGCGCCCCCAGCAAAGGACTGGAAACAAGGACACTGACTTACCCACCACCCTATGCCAAAGGCCGGGCAGCTTTCGGCCTCTGTGATCACCCGGAAAAAGGCACAGAGCAGCTTGCACCATTACAAGGGTTGCAGGGAGTCAGCCCATAGCTCCCATGCAAAAAGACTAGACCAGGTGAGGAAACCACATGTGGTTGTGGGTCAAAACCTTGTGCCCTCGGTCAACATCAAAATAGGTGGGAAATGGATGTTCATCCACCCCAAACTGGAGCCATAGGTTGTGCCCCACGGCCATGTCACACCTGGTGACCGAGATGCATCCAGAAAGAGCATCGCTAGTATAACAACTACTTTTCGGGGGACCTGCCGGTGACCTGCCGCCTCTTGGGTTGCATGTTAATCTGCAGGGCAGTAAAATGAAACATGCCGCGGCGTTTTAATTCTGTTCCCACCTGAAACAAACACAAAGGAACAACTCAAGCAAACTGACCATGCAAAAAAAGAGACCCTATTCATACCCCCTATGCTTTCGCCGGTAGCTGGCATGCAGAGAAGGCGGTATGCTTTTTGCCTCCTGGCTGGAGAACACCGATGTACTCTTATCTAGGCTGGAATTAGGACCCCAGCAAAAATTATCCTTTTGATCCGAATCTTTTCAAGGAACCATCCAAAAACCCAGGGAAAACGGATTCGGTTTTTGAAAAGAACGATGGTTGAAAAGAATGGGGAATCAACCCCTAGAGTTATGCTGGATACGAGTCTGTGGGTGGCTCGTCTCTTTTCGGAATCGGACCCCCGAAAGAAGCAAAACAACAAAAAGGAGAACTACTTCTGGGGAAGTTATGCCGTGGGGCCAGCAGCGCGCGATCCTCTGCCAAAGCAAGGGACTGGTACTCCTGAGGCAGAACCGAAGCGCCCTACTTCCAGGCCCCTCCGATCCCCTGAAACCCTTCCCCTCATGTTCTCCAAATCTCGGTTGGTGAATGGAACACCCAGGAGTTGGCAAACTATTAAAGTCCTAACATCCAAGTAAAATGCTCCAAAGACATAAGGCTTCAATTAGGCTATTCTCAGGCACTGTTTGAGGAAAACTTAGGAACATGGGTAGGGGATTGCTGAAAAATAGGCCCACAAAGACGCAGGTTCAGGTGTTGCAGCCACGCAGGGTCGAAGGCCACTTTCGGGTTTGTGTGTTGTGATTCGTTCCATATCTAACCTACCCTCACATACAAAATGTGGACAAAATTTAGGGTGGGTTGCAAGTTCCTTGAAGAAACGTGCAAGACAGGCTGGGGCAAAGCAGCCAGCCGCTTCTCCGCTCCGGGTCCTTGTGAGAGGCGGCGGCCAAACGCGCAAAAGCGGCGGCTGTCTCCTGGGCGAGGGAGGCCTGCCTCCAAGGGGGCTGGAGGTGGGGGGCCCTTGCAGTTCCAATGTCTTCACACAAGGAAACACAAAGCAATGAATTGAATTCCAGGGGTTCCGCCCCCCCCCCAGCGCAGTTCCATCTACGCAGGCTCCCCCACAAAATCCGCCGACCCCTTTGCAAAAGCAAAGTTAGTCTCTGCAAAGGGGCGAGGCGTGTTCTAAGTGGTGGTTAGGGGGAGTCTGAGGGGGGGAGGGGGGGTCCCGCAGCGGATTTTTGACACGCCTAACCTCTAACCCTAACCTCTAACCCTAACCTCTAACCCTAACCTCTAACCCTAACCTCTAACCTCTAACTCTAACCTCTAACCCTAACCTTTAACCCTAACCTCTAACCCTAACCTCTAACCCTAACCTCTAACCCTAACCTCTAACCCTAACCTCTAACTTTAACCTTTAACCGTGAGGATGGATGATGATGATGAAAGACTAGGAAGATGACGGAAGACTACGGGAAGATGACGAGAAGCTGACAGAAGACTACGGGAAGATGACGGAAGACTGCGGGAGACGACGGAAGACAAGGAGAAGATAACGGAAGACTAGAAGAGTGCGGGAATGTGCGGGACTGCACGAAGATGGCGGAAGACTGCGGGAAGACGACGGAAGCTGACGGAAGACTACGGGAAGATGACGGAAGACTACGAGAAGATGACGGAAGACTACGGGAAGATGACGGAAGACTACGGGAAGATGACGGGAAGATGACGGAAGACTACCGGAAGAAGATGACCCTACTCTAACCCTAACCTCTAACCCTAACCTCTAACCCTAGCCTCTAACCCTAACCTCTAACCCTAACCTCTAACCCTAACCTTTAACCCTAACCTCTAACCTTAACCTCTAACCCTAACCTCTGACCTTAACCTCTAACCCTAACCTCTAACCCTAACCTCTAACCCTAACCTCTAACTTTCACCTCTAAGCGTGAGGATGGATGATGATGATGAAAGACTAGGAAGATGACGGAAGACTACGAAAAAGATGACGGGAAGTTGACAGAAGACTACGGGAAGATGGCGGAAGAGTACGGGAAGCTGACGGGAAGATGCCGGAAGACTACGGGAACATGACGGAAGAGTACGGGAAGATGACGGGAAGCTGACGGAAGACTGCGGGAAGATGACGGAGGACTACGGGAAGATGACGGAAGACTACCGGAAGATGACGGAAGACTACGTGAAGATGACGGGAAGCTGACAGAAGACTGCGGGAAGATGACGGAAGACTACGGGACTGCGGGAAGATGACGGAAGACTGCGGGAAGATGACGGAAGACTACGGGAGATGATGGGAAGATGACGGAAGACTACGGGAAGATGACGGAAGACTGCGGGAAGACTACGGGAAGAGGACGGAAGACTATGGGAAGCTGACGGAAGACTACGGGAAGCTGATGGGAAGATGACGGAAGACTGCGGGAAGATGACGGAAGACTACGGGGAGATGACGGAAGAATACACGAAGATGACGGAAGACTACGGGAAGATGACGATGATGATGATGATGATGATGCTGATGATTTTGATGATGATGCTGATGATGATGATGGTGATGCCGATGATGATGATGACGCCGCTGATGATGATGACGATGATGATGATGATGGTGACGAGGATGATGATGATGATCAGGAGGATGATGAGGATGATGATCTGACGATGGTGCTGATGCTGGATGACGAGGCTGAGGATGATGATGCTACTGAGGCTGAGGATGATGATGGATGATGATGACGACATGGTGGATGATGACGATGATGATGATGCATCGTCCTCATTCATCAGGTTGAGCAGCATCATCGTCATCCTCCTCATCATCAGCGGCGCCATCATCGGCCTCGTCATCCAGCATCATCATCAGCCTCATCATCCCCGCATGAAGCCAGACGTTGGAGAAAAATCCGGCCCTTGTTATCGCTGAGAGAAAGCCCGGCTCTTCTCCGTCCCAGACCAAAAAGCAGCTTCCGCATCCCCAGCATGCCAGGCATCACCCCAGACACCTGCAGGATGATGCCGGTGAAGCGGGGAATGCAAAAGCTGCCTTTTTTCCCGACATTCGAAGACCAAAAAGGCAGTTCCTGCATCCCCTGCAAGCAAAGCATCACCCCGGGCACCTGCAGGATGATGCTGGTGAAGCGGGGGATGCAAAAGCTGCCTTTTTTCCCAACATTCGAAGACCAAAAAGGCAGCTCCTGCATCCCCAGCATGCAAAGCATCACCCCGGGCACGTGCAAATGATGCTGGTGAAGCTGGGGATGCAAAAGCTGCCTTTTTCTACAACGATGGAAGACCAAAAAGGCAGCCCCCGCATCCCCAGCATGCGAGACCTTGGCGCCAATCCTGCTGAGAGACGGAGAAGGGCCAGAGTTTCTCCAACGTGTGTGATGCTGTTACGGGGGTCGGCGGCATCAGGCGTCAGCCTGCTAAATAAAACCAGAGAGACGTGTGAGTGGACATCCAGGTTTCACCTGTGTCCCGCATTGGATTGTTTGTGAAGGGCGCGGGCAACCAGTCACAGCTGTACATCATTCGGAAAACATGTGCTACACTTGGCAGGGGTCGATTAACATGAAGCCCAAGACGCCAAGGACAGCATACGGAAACCGAACCAGCTCATGCCAAGAACAGCACGAGCCACACTGACATGCCAACAGCTTGAAGGTAAAGACACCTGCATCCACTCAATGCACCATTTGTCCTGCGTGCGGGACGGCTGAAATAAGCACGGCAATGAGAGGAACCAGTTCTCCGATGGAGGCGTCCCATCCTTGGCGAGCGCGGGTGCTTTGGTGCCGGCGTTTGTTGGAAGAAAAACGCGGTGGATGAATTAAGGGTTGGGCCTTTTCAAAAGCCTGACTGTTGTTGGGCCAAAACGGAGCAACAGCAAGTTGCTACATGCCTCTTGCAAGTCCATGACCGTGAAATTGTCGTACAGCCACCAGGCGAATACAGTCACACTGACTGAATTGGCTCATTGAGCTTGTGCTACGTTGCGGAAGCGGATGACACACCCCAGGTAGATGCTATCTGATATCTGACATATTTCACGTATGGCGCCAGGATTGCGGGTTGTTCTTCACCATGGGTTGCACAAAGCCCCACTTATCCAAACCAAAATGGTGACCGCCTTGGGGTGCCAAGACTGAAACGTCGGACTAACACAGGGGAAACCAATAGCAAGGAAACCAACTGGTCGATGCCTTCCTCACAAATACCGCAAAAGTCACACATGGAGAGCAATATCTACATATTAGCGTGTGGCGTTTGGGAGGTTGTGAACCAAGGTTCCCGACTTTCCTATGGCCCCTTGAACTTGCGACTTTGCAACTCAGGCACGGTGACCATCAGGTAGCTCACCACCCTGGCAGATTGGGAACGTCAACCGGGGCTGCTCCAACAAACCTTTCACAATGGCTAGAACTGCACCTAAGCCGACCCCTGCCTCACTTCCAGTGTGGATTTGCCAATAAAGTTCAAATTGCTAATTTACCATGGTCTTCCGGAAAATTCTAAAGCCGTACGAATCTTCGAGCCTTGTGGTTTCGTCCTAGGTTGAGATTCGGAGCCATCCTGCCAACCTTAGTCCACCTCAACTGGCTATCTTGGACAAAAGCACCAGCAGGTCTTTATAGGAAGCCGACAGGAATTTTGTCAGCTAAATAACCTGTGCAACATGCGTGCGATGGTTTTCAACGTGTGTTGTTTTTCAAGGTATCCAGCATCCCTTTTGGTAGTCTGCAAAGAATATTTTGGGGAAGCCGCCCAGTTTGGGGCTCCATCTCCTGTTTCGAGACCAAGCATCCTCTTTTGGCCCCGTTTGCAAGGGAACCAGTGACCGGAAAGGTCGCGAAGGACATCCCTTTTCCAGCATGACCATTCCAGTGAAACCCGCCTAGCAAAAAGAGAAGAGTGCACCTGAACAAGTGGGTGAAGCAAACGAGCCATTCTGATGTTGGCCGGCGTGGAGACCAAAAGCACTCCCAAAGCCATGGAAGCAGCAGCCTAAAGCACAGGAATTAGCTACCTGACCTTTTTGCAATCCACACCTCCTGATTTGAACAATATTTCCAAAGCAAGACTTCACCCGCCCATCAAACAGAACCAACAACAGAAGACCAGACAGGCCCCTCTTTGCAAATGCACCCTTCATGGGCCACTGGCCCAGTAGGTTTGCCTCTACGCAACGAAGCACCAGCCCCCAGGGGTTCAATAGAAGGTGTAGTACAGTCCTGTATTCATCTTGCCCTCAGTGGAACACCATTTCCCCAGGGAGTCGTGGCCTGGGGGATGGTGGAAACCATCCTTTTTAGAGCTGGAGAGCTGGACACCGGGCACCCCCCCCCCACCCATTTCCCGGCCACTGCAGCGTTGGCTCAGTCTTGCCCTTTGCGGCCACTGCGCGGAAGAAGCAAGACCTGGGCGTAAAGCCACTGGGGTTGTCTCAGGGTACCTTTTGACAGGCTCAAGCAGCTGCTTTCCGTTTGGTTCTTCTCACTTTTTCAGTGGGGGCGGCCCAAAAGAATAGATTGCACGAGCAACAAAGAACCACAGTTCTAGCTCGACTCTACCCATTCCTTCATTTTGGAAAGTAAGTATCGTAAATACAAGGCTCCTTCCAAAGTAGTCTTCCTAGTTAAAATGCAACTCATTGGCCGGATAGTTGTGATACAAGAGTGACGTTGGCAAAGGGAGCACTTTATCCCTTGTCACAAAACCAATGTTAGACCCAGAGGGTGCCCAAAGGGCCTAACCCCTAAACCCAATCCATGCGTTCCGCCCCACAGGATCTGTTGGGCTTTGAGTTTAAGCTTAGATTTTAGGTTTAGGGTTTCATGTTGTTTTGCTTGCGCTCTCTCCTGCCTCGCAGCCAAGGGGTCAGTCCAGCGCGGGTTTAGGAACAACGGATTGTTTTAGGCTATTTTAGGTTTAGGAGGGTTTAAGTTTGGCCCCCACAACACCCCAAAAACCCTGGCCCTGCACAGCAATTGGGGTTTAGCTTTCGGGTTCTCGGGGTTTTGGGGGTTTAGGTTTGGGGGTCTTAGGGTTTAGGTGTCGGGTTCTTTGGGGCGACTTTCCGCAGCCAAGTTTGCAAGTTGGGCCTCCGGGACCCCAGTCGGAGCTTAGCCCTCGAAAGTCCCAAACCACTCCCCAGGGGCGTTGGGGCAGATCACATGGATTGGCCGTAAATATAGGGGTTCCTCACTTCCTGAGCAGATGGGTCATGACAAGCCCAGTGTGTGTGTGTGTGTTGCCACCTAATGATTTGCTCCCTTAAGCCCACTACCTGCATATGTGAGATTCCTTTGAAGGCCCCATCCAACAAGGGCTCAAATGCGCAGTGGCCCATGGGAAAACGGGGCGCCGATGTTTCGGTTGCTTGAATTGAAGGAAAGCCCCAGCCCAAAAAAGCAAAACTTCCATTTTTGCTTAAGCCCCCTGAAAAAAATACTTCCAGTAGTGATAGGCTCCCTTTAAAACCAGCAAGGGAAAACAAAAATGTTCTTAAGCAAATGGATGAAAAGCGCAGTCCTTTTGGGCGTCGAGGGGGTCTTTGGTTCCGCTCCTGTCGCCAGGGCACAGGAGCACGCTGGCGGCGGCGCAGTGGTTCAGCAGCAACTTCCTGGGGTCCGAAGGGGAACTGGCGTGACAAACAGGTCACACCTAGGCTTAGGACCCCAGCAAAAAAAATGATATCTTTTTTGCCTGGTTAGTGGAAAAGAAAAAGGGGACCCAAAAAAGCCAAAAAAAAAAAAGGGGAGCTAATTCTGGGGAAGACACATGGGTATCTCAGTTGCCCCAAGGACCTGGAACTAAACGAACTAAAAGGTTAGCCTTTTGGGGCCATGACTAAATATGGATCAAAACGGGAAAATTAAAAGGTCAAAAGGTCGGCTTTGAACAACTGAGGTATGGGTCAAAATTGAACCGCCAGAAAAACCGCAGGCTGTTTCCATTAGGGTTCCTCTGGGGGTACCTAGTTTTGACCCACAGCCACATGTTGACACCTGAGCGGGTGAGAACTAAACCAAAACGCAGGTACTACCAGTGACCCATTTCGTACAAAAGAATTGGGAACCATAGCATTTACCAGCCATCACAATTTCCCATTGAGACCAAGAGAAACACGAAAGTCTGATCCAGAACCTGCAAGTTGCTGCCTCACAGCCCCGACGCTCCGCAAGCAACTGCGCTTGCAGCTGGAGGCGCGTGGAAGCGCAACTGTGCCGAAAAGGGGGAGCCATTGCGGCCCAAGAGTTTTGCATGTATCGGATGAGCCAGCGAGATCCCCAACAGGGACTACCGGAATTGTCGGCACGTGGTCTAAGAGGCCCGCTCTGATTAAGACGCCCGATTCTTCAAGTCGACTGGCAGACAATGCTTACTCCAAAAGCACCCACAAAGTTTGGCCAAAAGACCCCTCTGATATATGTGTTTTGGCACTTCTTAGAACCCCCTCTGATCAAAGACGTCCCTTTCCGGCCCAACATCCCAAAATACCCAACATCGTAATTTTAAATTACCAATTTCAAAGCTATTGCCAATACTTTTGACAATACTAACTCCGAGCCTACCGGAAAACCGTTTCTTTGCAATGGAAAGCACTGTGAACTGACAACCAAATTGGCGGGAACCTCCAGTTCCTGGTGCTACTGACAACATGGAACCCTAACAACACGTCATTTTGAGAGGCATGGGCCTGGAAATGAATGATTTAGCCATAAGACCTTAAACATTCATCATCGCAAACTACCCACGCTGGAACTGGTGTTGTGCGTGTTGTGCCTATGGGGGAACATCACAGCGGCCCCGTCAGGGTCCCTGCAGTCAGCCGAAGCCCATTGACTTGCAACGCGTCAGCAAGTAAAAACAAGGTAGTGAGGCAGCAACAAAGACAGCCAAGGCAGCAGAAAGGCAGGGAACAAGGCCCACCATACTCCAACACTTCTTCCCGAACGAAAAGCCAACGATGTTGGGGAACAGGCTGCGAAAAAGAAACAAACAAAAAACAAAGCAAACTTGGCTTTGGGGAGCCCAGAAACGAGGCCCTAAACTAGGCCCAAACGAGGTTCAAACGAGGTCCAAAACCAGCCAAAAGCTCCAGTGGCCCAAAGGTCAGGTCCCTAGGCACGTTCACTCAACTGGGCAATTAAACAATACAAATGCACGCGAAACAATGCAAACGCATCTGTCAAGCTGCTCTGAAACAAACTGTTCGAAGAATGGGTGTGTTCTGCTTATAAATTTGATTGTGGGCATGGTTTCGGCTTGCTGGTTGTTGTTTTGGTTGTTGCTGCTGCTGCTGCTGTTGTGGGCTAGCTCTGAAAGGACTCGAGGAAAAAAACAGCGAACCGCAACCTAAGTTCAATCTGTGCATTTGCAGGGGGGAATCATGTCGACCCCTGAATTTCATCAACCTGGTAGATTCTTCGGGAGGTATCCTTAAAGAGCCAAAGGATACCCTCTTAAGGGACTTAATCCCCATCATTCAACCAGCTCCGTGCTAATGCATTTGAAGATTCAGGAGCTCCATGTGGGGCTGCTGTGCAGAAGCTGCCTGGCATCGGAGAGTGAAAGCCGGGCCACATGCGGGGCAACCCAAAGGAGTCAGAAAGCCCACACTTGACTTCGGGCCGGGTGAAAAACATGTTTTTGGGGATTTGGTTTTTGAAACCAGCACATCCAAAAACCTTGAAATTTGGAGACCCAACGGTGGACTCGCTTCTTGGAAGGGAAAATCAAGGAAACAAGTCTGAACAGTATGGTAGAGATCTCAGAAGGCCGGCATGGAAACCTGACCCAGCGATTTCTTGGTCCGGTGCAATGTGCACAGTTGGCGATTAGAGAGGGCTATCGCCATGAAAGATTGGAGGACTACACAGAATGTACGTCCGTTCAATCAACTCCAAGCCATTGCATGGCAAACGGGCCGCAACTGGATGCTTCTGCTTACCACTGCCGCTTTTATTCCCTGACCTCAACTCTGGGCCGAAAGTTGGTTTCCTTTGGCTTGCGGGCTGAAAGTTGGTTTCCCCGTTGGATCCTACGCAAGCCACTATGGTAGGTAGCCGGGCATTTGTCATGTGTTCTCTGGGTGGTTCCCTGGGTTCCAGCCAAAAGATGGTCCATGGAATCAATGGCTTGATTTGACGGCAAGCAACCGGCGGCCCACACCACAGGCGGCTTGCATGCGGGGTGAAGAATTTGATGTACACTCCCTTTGGGTCCAAACACCAGTCGAAACTCCAAATGAAGGGCAACAAAAGGACCACTTTCTATTATGGCTTACCCTCTCACCAATTAACATGGAGCCTGACAGGGGGGCTCCTGGGAGACGCACCCAACGCAGCCCCGGCCGTCAGTGTCAGGACCGCGGCCAAAGCGGTGTAGAACGCCTCAGAAGTGGCAAATCCCGTTGAAGGGGAAGCTGGCTGGGCTGTAGGGTACCCTAATTCCACTGGTCGATTCTGTCCAACCCTTGCCATGGTAGCAACAAAAACGTGCTTAGTTGGCAGCCCCCTACTAAACAATGGACAACCCAAAAAAACAAAAAAACTCAACAAAGACCTAATCACATGCTCACAGCAATGAAGTATTCTACCCCCGCAAGCCCTAACTTATAGCCGTATTGAAGGAAACCAGGGTTGAGATCCTACGACATATCTGGGCTATCTGGGGCAAAGGAACCACCCTGCCAAGAGGTCAGGCACCAGCCTATGCCTCGCTTGTTTGTAGTGACCTCCCAGAAATGTTGTCTGCCGAGTGGCCACACACAGCAGGGCCACCAGCAATCCGATGATCACATACACCGATCGGTCCTGACACCTCGATCGGCGAACCCTTCATTCAAGCAGCCTGCCGAGTTGACTCGCATAACAAAGTGTCGACCTCCTTTTTCAAGGCGGCCACGGTGCGGTTGTGAACATAATGTTTGGGCAACCACTGGTTGCTAGAAACAAGTTCAAGCTTTCTGGCCCTAAACTTACAAAGAAAGCTGGCAAGAAACAGCCTGAAGTTTGGAATCTGAACTGGTGAGAACAGGTCTGGATCGGCTTGAGAAGGATTGAAAGCCTTCTAAAACTAAGCAACAGTAGAAACAACTCGTGGGGTGAACCGGTAGCGCGGCCACCGTTAACAAAAGGGATAAAGGGGTGCCACTGAACAACTTCAGGATCAAAAGCGATGAGAAACCCGAAGGCTCCTTCGTGGCGAGGATATTTCTCCTTCGAGCACCAGCCAAGTGAAGGTTGGGCCTGAAAATGCCCAGCTCAACAAATTAAGTACAGGAACTTTCCGCATGGGTCGCAAAACAAAAAAAGAAGCCGTTGCACAAAGTGTGGGGGGGGGGCTTCATCAAGCTTGGGCCATGTCTTTGAAGTCCCACTCACTCTTAACCGGGAAAAAGCGGCCCACTATCGACGAGTTCCTTTTTCCCGCACAGGTCATCAGAGGTTGCGGCAGGGAGGGGTGGAGAATACATACAATATAAACAGGATTCCCTACATGTTCCCCAGATTCAACGCTACCCCGCCAGCAGGATACTACTGCTTCTTTGTGCTACATAAAGACTAAGTCGTATTCAAATATCGATTCATGTAAAGGGCACGCAATTTGCAAGTTCAATCAGGGATATTTTAGACATCTGGAGCCCTGCAACATAGCAGGGTGCAACACTCTTGGGCGTTGTTAGCTCAGTGGCTTGATCCAACCCCCAGATCTGATTGTTGCCTCCACCTTCTGGCTATGGCAACGAATGGGTTGGGGTGGGTCGAAAAACAAATGGAGACCGGCCTGACCCGCAGATTGAAACCAAGAAGCTGGTAGCAGGACGTACTGCTGCTACCTGGGCACAACAAAGCTTTTGTCGGCATCATGTTGCCTGCACGGACTAGGCCGGGGCCGGCAAAAGCCCAAAGGCATTCCGCAAAGGAATCTGCTCCAAGGTGGAGCTCAATTGGACTTGCCAGTTCACATGCGTTGCATGGGGGTCCGTCCTCAGGGAACCTGCTTCTGTTTTCCTTTTTTTGTTTGGGGGGGGAAATGGGTGTCGTCCCTGGATTTTTCACTCCTTAAGTGAAACACTTATCCCAGGCTTTGCCAGGGGCTACCCTGGGATGGAGTCCACCCCCACAAACCCGCCCTGGTCAGTGCGGTCTCAAGCTGCGATTAACCATGCAGCAATAGGTGCAGGATTGTAGCATTAAGCTTACACCTTCTCCCACTGGCATAGCAGCTGTGAGCGGGACGAATTTCCTCTTGAAGGGATCGCTTGCCAGGTGGCATGTTGCTGGGAGCTGAATACAGGATCTGGCAGGGAATTACAACAAAGACAATCATCCACCTTTTTGGAACGTTTGCTTCCGCCAGAAGATGTGTTTTAAACAAGAAGCATCCGAACTATTCAGCGCCCATGTTGGGTGAAGGGAGGCTAAAGCCTAAATTGGTTTGTTGAAAAATGGGGAAATCCCCCCGAATGGGGATGGGTATTCCTATGTATTCCTTTTGTTCCCCTGGCAAACGCTTAAAACCACCAAAAATACCCTCAAACAAAGATTCACCCAAAAAATTACTAAAAATCACTAAAAATATCTTAATTAAAACCACACAAAAAAAACGGGGTACCCCTCAACCAAAGACACGCCCGTTGCTCGTTTCGTGCCGCGGTGCCCTCGAGGCAGGCGAAACAGTGCCGCCTGGGCACGGGTCTCTGACGGAAGCGCTGGCCTCCCAACGCCCATGGCGTGCCCAACGAAACTTTTCATCGAGTGGAATGGCCAAATCAAGCCCAAAGGATTTTAGCATATAGAATGGTCCAAGCCCAAAAAGTAACTCAAGTCCAGGACCTCAGAGAGTGAGCCACATGCTTTCTGGACTATGCTCTTATGGGAAAAATCGGAAAGGCTCCTCTGGCAAGGTTTGTTGGCTCCAAAGCAAAACAGAATCCCGACATTGTCCAAAGGCCTGAAACGTCAAGGGTAGAACCACAGAGTTCCAAACCTCCAGTGACACAAAGGACACCTTGGTTTTGGTTGGGTGACCCAAAGCGAAAACACCCCACAAAAAGGCTCCACTGGAGGTCTGGGGGGCAAACTCATCCCCCGGGTGAGCTTGTTGTTCGGATGCTATGAAGACTCCTTAGAGTGAATGAGAGACGTTTCACCCTTTTGGTGGACAATTTATCCGTTCTACGGAGCTTTCTGTGCACAGCCAGTTCTAAACCCCAACAATTAGGTTCCTTTGGGGCAGCCCTCCCGCTGTCCCGCTGTTGATTGAATTCGGGGAATGTTGTGAAGACGTCCCAATCTGCCAGACCTCCAGTGGTGACCCCGCTTTTCCCTTCTCTGGTGTAGGCTTCCCGAGGCAACCAGCAAGGTGGCCTGGTAATTAACTGGAGGTCTTTGGTTTCCATGTCTACTGGACAAAAAGAACAACTCGCTAGTATAGGCCCGCGCACGAAGAGCGAAAGATGAAACGCCTCAAGTTGGGCGTTGTCTTTGTCTTCAGGAATGCGACTTAGCTTCCGTTTCTAGCGATTTACCCTTCCGCCTAACATGGAAGTCACCGGGAATTTTGAACAACATGGCCCAGGAGTTTGTAGATACGTTCGCTGGCTTCTCATTCTCTGGGTAATTATGGTTCAACCCCCCCCGTCGGAAACATCTTCCTCCACACCCTGCAGACATGGAGCCCGAAAAGAGGTCCCCCAGGAGGAGATTCCTCTACAACCGCCTTTCTTGTGGTTCCATGTAGATCTGCAGCAGCGAAAAGTAATATATAGGCGCAAGCGGGAAATGGGAAGCTCAGTTTGAAGTTCTTGCTCCCTGGATGGCGCCCACCCCAGGCCGAGCCGAGGCGCCCTGAAGCGCCCTCCGCGCAGCGGCCCTGCGCCAAGCACGCCTGGCCGAGCCAACGTGGAACCTACTGCGGACGCTGGCGCAATCCGGCACCGCACCACGAAATGCCTGTGGGTCAAAAATATGTGCTCTAAATGGAACCCTGGTAAATGGAATCATGGACTGAAACCTGCGGTACCCTGGTAGCTTCATATTGGCCCATCCCAAATGAAACCATGGTCGAAACGATGGGTTTGTTGGTATTTTGCGTTGGGGAATCAACATTTCTGGACGTCTGACATGGTGCATGCACTGAACCATCCCCCTCTCAACACACATGGAAGTGCTCAGGCCCTTTTGGAAAACGACTTTTGCTTTGTTGTGAGGGTAGAGGTACGAACCAACTAGCATTCAATTCAGGCAGGATTGGTGGTCTGGGCATTTAACCCCGTGGTTTGCGCACGACGGAAAATTGGAAACCAGCCCGGGACACCTCCAAACCACTGATTCGGCACAAAACCACCAACCAGGAACCAGGGGGAAGCTGAAACATGGCACTTCCCGGGTTTGGCTGTTGCTTCAAAGATCTGCACGCGTTGGTGGAAAGTTGGTGGGGGAAACTACAGCAAGCAGTTTAGCATGCTTCTAGTCTTGTGCAGATTCGATCATGTTCCAGAGGCTCGGAGAAATTCTGACCTAACTTGGGCCACCAAGAAGGTTGATTCAAACCAAACAAGTGGGGCCTCAATACGCTCACCTGCAGCTAATGTGCCTTGAATAAAAAGCAAGCATACTCTTCAATGAACCAATCGGTCTGGCCGGGCAAACGCAATGCAGCATGGCCGATCTATGAACAGAAAAATACTTGCAACCACAGGACCTTGAAATCGAAGGTGCTCAGCTTTAGGAGCCGTCAGCCGGCAAGTACCCTCCTGTCCACTTTGCCATGGAACACCAGAGAAAAGGAAAATGGTCTTGGACCCCTCAGTCAGGTTCGACGTGGACAACAGCGTAAGAGTCATAATGACCGAAGTGAGCAATGGCTTTCGATACAGGCCTTGCAACTGAATGCGCATGGGATATCTCAAGGGATAAACAATAAGCACAGTTGATTACAACAAGTTGTGATCCTCACATGTCTGACATGTGATTCCAGTTGCCACTGGGCCACCATGGTGGTTACCCAGCAGAAAAAAAGTCCACTAACGACGGGGTCCCCCTAGATTTCCCCATTTAAACATCAGCCCACCATAAGCAAATTCACTTTATATAAATGGCATACAAAGCGCAAATGTAAGGACCCCTGAACAACTTAGAGACAAAACGCATCCCATCCCGTCCGGCCGCTGGACGAAGGCTGCAAGCTTCCATGCCCTCAGCATAAGCGTTTAGCTTCATGCCGAGTGGGCGCCCCCGGGAACAAAGCGATCCGATTTGCCATACCTCTGAAGTCTTTTACCACTTTTAGGAAGCCAAAGCAAACAATGTTCGAACAAGGCAGTTCTAAGAGAAAAGCGGTTGGGGTCATAACGGAAAGCCAACATGACACCAACCATGACCCGAACTGCCTTGGCTACCATTTGGCAGCCTTGAAAGGGAGCTAGCAGGTGCTGGACAAAACACGCGACACATGCCAAGAAGAGCATACTCCCCTGCAAACTCCCATGAAACCCGACAAACTATCATGTCTACAGGCATCCCCAAGTCCGAAAGGACAGCAGGTGTTCAAACAAGGAGGATCCAGACCGCCTGGCTCCATGAGACTCGAGGGTGCTGCAAATTAAGAAACCCTCTTCCGAACGTTGCATTGCGTTTCGTAGGCTCACCTGCGCACGGGTTTCTTTTGGCGGCCATGACTGCATACAAAGGACCAAAAGGCGGACGCACCAACAGGTTAAGAAGTCGATTTTAGGCAAGCAAGCGAAACAATCGTGCAATCTAAAATTTAAACAAGAAGCCCCAATCCAATTGTTAGTCTGGCATGGTTGATGGACAGCATGATGATTCAGCGGACCCTTGGTTTGCAAGGAGACCCTTTTGAAGAGCTGAAGCGATCATCACAATCATGAACAACAATGTGGCTCCCCCCCTCGCCAGCAGCAAACACCGTGCATCCCGAGGCTCGATGAAGTCATCTTCGTCCTCACGCACGGGAAAGGCACAGGCAAGCCATTGAACGACGTTGAAACCACCTGCATGTGTCCGTTTTAGGGTACCCTAGCAAACACCCTCTGTGTTGTTGTTTGAAGATAAGGCAACCATGGGAACATTCCCCGTGGATAGAGGTTCCCCTGGTTCGAAACAAACCCACCTTGGCTTCAGCTTGAGTTGCAAACAGGGGATGTGGAAATCACTGGGTGCTTTCCATCCCGTTGTGGTTCCCTGTCCAGAATTGCAGTCCATGAGTTGCGTCACAGACCCTTTACAGGCGCGGCAGAATACAACTAGACTCGCACTCTGTTTACACATTTTTTCTGTCCGAGAATGAACTTGTTTGACGCGACATGTGATTTCCCCACCAATCCACAAGGAACCTAAGAAACGCACGAGTGTCTTTTGAAGCCATTATTGATTTGTAAGGTGTTTTAGGCCGAGGCAGCCCTGTGGCGGGCTGCGCTATTTCAACAAGCTTTGTTCCGTAGCCCCATTTAGAATGGACAGGACCGAAGAAACAAACAACTATAGCGAGCTACTATCACTTGACATACCACAACAACAAAGGGGACAGGTTGTACAAAGTTGGAGATTTGCCGGGGTATGGGCTCACTCTGAAAATAAACATGCCAAGAACCACGCAGCAAACCTCGGATAGGTTCAAGCCATGCGGCCCACACTGCGTAGTAGCCCGGCGCCTCAGCAACCGAATCAGCGCCCTCGAAAGCCAGCGAGAGACATCCCAAGAACACCTTGTTTTACGTAGGGGTTCATTTGCCACCAGTAAACAATGGTTGGGTTCATAGTGCCACACATTGTTTGCCAAACGTTTGTCATCATCCAATTTGGGACAACCATTCTTTTAATGGGGGTTGAACCCTGGGAGTAGTGTCAGGGCAGGCCATTCCCGAATCAACTCTTCAAGGGGTAAGGGGAGGTTGAGTTCTCCTTTTGGCATTTCGCATGCGGTGCACATCCGGAGGTGAACGGGCGAGTTGTGAAGCCACATCCACCCATACCGGGTCAGCATCTGTGCCATGGTCAAACTTCCTTATGTGGGTCATGGCGATGGTTCCCTCAACAGAAACTGTACATCATTCTCCTGAAGCTTCCTTTCAGAGGTTGATGACTGTCCTAAGGACAGTATTCAGTTGCAAACTGTTTTGTCAAGGACATGTCTTGGCCAAACGTAGACCGCGCCCAAAAAATCAACCGGCTGCTGATCCAGCGGTAAAACAGAAAACACTGAGGGGAAGAAAGTCATGTGCAAGTCTGGTATGGATTTCAGCATCAAAGATCTGCCCCGCAACATCCCGCAACACTTCAGTGCCAAAACCGTGAAAACTACAAACAGCTTCCATACAGAGGGGCGGACAAACATCGCAAAGCAAGGGAGAATATCAAGTTTCACACTAGCTTAGCCCCCTGAACATCTCCAAGCCCGCAGGGTTAACAACCTGTCACTAGTTTTCCGCGAAAATTGTTCCCCACCCTGAAAAGGAAAAGGGGTGAACTCAATTCAGAAAACCAGGTTTCTTGGCGGGGAAACAAAAGGCTGCCTGTTCGGCGGCGAGAAAATGATGCCCCAAGCCCTGGCATTCTAAGGCATACTAAACCAATGCTAACCAATACGAAGCCAATACGAACTGATACTAAGCCAATGGTTCAAAACCAACTCGGTCCGGAGGCCAGCAAAACCCACTGAATCCCGCAAGACTGCCACGCAAGCAACATTTCCGGGGAGTGGCACAGGGAAGTCCAGGAAAGGCCCTTACTATTCACTAGATCTGACCCTTTGTCGCCGGTCATATCCCTTGACCTCTGGGTGTCCTGAAGCCTCTCTTAGAACCCCATGGGATGACTGGATGGCCGATCTGGTTGATTCGCTTTGGCTTCCGGTGAGCTTTCCATGCCAAGAGCAGCAGCACCCCACCCAGAATACGTGAATTGGGAGAGTGGCGCGTCCTAAGGAACTCAGTGTCCCACCAGAAACTGGAAAATGGACAGGAGAAAAGACGTCAAATGGAATCCTAGAGAGGTACCCCAATTCCACTTCAACACCACCCAATCTCCCGCCATCTCGCCCATTCTGCCCCGGCACATTCTCAGGCTGCGCCGTGCCGGCAAGAAGGCTCTGCTGTCCTACGCCATCCTGAGCAGAAACACATCCAGCCCTAGGTGTCCGTTTGGACGAAACCTGGTACTCTTAAATGCGCAGAACATAGAAGCACCAACCAAACCGACCTTAAAAAAGACATCTATGCTTCCATGAAGGTTTCTCCCTCCCCTGGGAGCATGGGCGCCGGCCCTGGTTCTGGGGAGGCGAGCTGACTATGGGTTGTTCCCCCTTTTCAAACCTTTCATTCGCTTGATAGTTTTGGTTCTTGTTGGTGTTCTGTACCTCCCTGACTCGGTGGTGCCCTCGGCCTCGATTGGCCACGACTTAGACTTTGAACAAACCTGCCGTGGGCTTATGCATGAGTATGTAAGACCAGCCGTTGCACCGCGCGTGGTTTGACCAGCTCAAAAGCTCTTCTCGGATTTTGGGTACCCTGGACAAGCCGGCCCTTACAGTGGGCGTGTCAGGGGCTACCTCAAAAATCCATCGGCTCATCCAGCTAGAATGGTTGCCGCAAGAAACGCAGGGCCGCAGGGGGTCCCCTAAAACAAGATTCCTCTCCAACAAGCTTGGAGGATCCATACCAAGGGATAGGCAAGTAAGAAATATGCCTTCGATTTGCCTTCAAATCCCTGTGCCTCCGCCCCTCATCAAACTTGGGCTGGCCCTGTTTCTGTCCAAGTTGGCCAAGTTGGCAGTCCCTGGGTTACAAACACGCTGGCCGAGCATTAACATCTCGAACTGACTCTTGTCCACCGCTAATGAAATTGTTCAAGCAACCCCCCAAAGGGAGAGGACCCCCTGGCCCAGCAAGCCAAAATGAACTTGAACCGCCTTACCAAAGCAACATGCTTGATGCTAGTCCGTATCTTATAAACCTTGAAAAGCAACATCGATTTCAAAAGAGATCCCACTTAAATGGCTGATTCCCATCGCTATGGCTACTGAATCTCACTTTGAACAGGGCTCCAGGGTGTCCATGTTTCATCTTAGCCCAAAATGTAATAAACCTCAGATGGGGCAACAGGTAACATGATTTCCAAGAAGATCCACCAAACCAAGCCAATGACATAACTTCCACTAGAAGACCCCCGCCCCGCAGCAAACAGAACAAGGGGGCATCGAACCCATCGAGGCGAGCCGCCTGCAAGCACTTGGACTGGCCCCAGGCAGCTTGGGAGGAGCCCACCGGGCAGTCCTCCGTTGTTTTTGCTCGGCCCAGGCGGACAACCGCCACAGAAAAGGAGATGAAAAGGCGACCAAAAAGTCAAACTCCACAACATGAGCCAACAAAAGGCTTGAAACCGAAGCTGGCTCAAAGAAAGGAACCCAACACACAAAGACCAAACAACACAAATCGGCCCAAACAATGAGCCAGCAAGAACCCCAAACAAAAGCTGGCCCGAAAATATAGATGGTTGAGGTCCGGCACAATGTTCAGCGCGCTACGGACAATGTCCTCCGGAAGGTACGATGACATGACCAGCCAGGATTGAAACAGGATTGTTGGATCCCTTTTGTTTTTTTTCCCTTTTGTTCCCTTTTGTTTTTGTTTGTTTTGTTCGACATGACCAGAAACAACCAGGATTGTTTCATGCTTTTTTCCCTTTTGTTTTTGGGGGGTGGGGGGGCCGAGGGTGGAACATGGGGCACCTCCAACCTGTAGGGTGCACACTATGAGAGGGCCACAGCTGGCTTCCCCGCAATTGGGTCGCTTGCTTTCCTCAGCCATGGCCTGGTTCTGAACCATGCCGCATGCAATGGAAAGGAACAAGTAGCACTTTTGGGCCCATGGCTAAAACAGTGTCAACACCTGAAAGCCAAGAGAGCTTGTATGCAGGTGATTTTTATCTCCACCCTCTGGTTGGGGCCGCTGGCTAATGGTGCTCAGCAAATCCTGGCATGCTTCAATGATGCTCCTTGGTGATACCTGCCAAAATAGTTCCCCTGCCACGGATCGTTGAGTTCCTGACTTCCAAATGGGGCAAAGTGCAAAGGGTTGGCTCTACTCGCAGGCCGTTTGGACCACATTGGGATATCTCTTCATTGGGGTAGGGTTGCTTTCAGAATCTTTCGGAAGACCAGCGGTAACCACCTATTTATTTTTCGACTGCACAGTAAACCCTGAAAAAATAGGCCGGTCTCCCTGTAGTTTCCCCTTGAAGCAACGGGTTCCAATAGAGACAAATTCACTGCTTCGACCTCCGAATTCGTCCACCACGCCTGGCACTCCAGGCTAAACGCGCTGCTGAACCGCCCCGGCGGGCAGAAAGAGCAGTTGCTCCTGGCGGGTCCGGGGCCGGAGAGCTGAGCCACCAATGGGAAGATTTTGCTTTTGAAGAATTGGGTGGGGAAATGAAACAAAAAGGCGACCAACAGGTGTGTCGGTTCCTCCAGTGAACACGTCATTGAAGGGGTTCGGACCTCATTGGAAGTCTTTGGACCAAAAACATGGCCTTTTTCAGGATGCTGAGAGTTGTGAAGCATGGCAATTCCCAAACCCCAACTGCGACCAGTGACCCGAGAGGTAGAAATTGATTGAAGCCATTATGTTTGGTTTGACATGTTTGCTTTGGCTTACCTTATTAACTTGTGGCCGCTTTTGTTTCCCCTCAGTCTCACAGATTGCATGGGACTTATTCCAGTCTGGCCCAGATATGAGGGATACTGAATTAAGGGACTGGGATATCTGAAGCCCAGTTTCTCAATGGATTGCACGCTGCAATTCCTTACTGTACTTTTTTCTTAGAGGTGGGGACGCCTTAGATCTAAGCGGTGATTCACTTGCATGTGCTTAAAGCCCAATGAACAAATAAACATATTTCCAGTAGTGATAAATTCTCTTTGGGGAAAAACACATATTCTCAAGCAAATTAAAGTTCAGCAGCGCCCCTTGCTTTTGTCGCCGCGGCTCCTGCCAAGCGCCGCCGCCCGGCCCACCGGGCAGTGAAGGCACTCGTTGCTGCCCGCCTTGCGGTGTCAGCAAAACACCAAGCCTTCAGAATACGTTGCTTTTTTTTTGCACATTCCAAAAAGGCCAACCCGGACTAATGATTTACACATGGTTGCCAAAAAGCGAACCCCAAAAAGTTCCAAATTCAAAGGCAAACTCGCTGTGGCCAACCGCCCAACCGCCACCGCCCGGCGCCCCACGACACGGCGCACGACGCCTCTGCGAAGCGGCCGCCGGGGCACAGCTGGCAAACCTGGCTGCCGGCCACTGAGGTGGAGCCTGCGACGAGGCGCGTCGAAGTTTGCGCTTGCACCGTAAACCGCCTGGAGCGGTTTTGTAGGAATCGGACCCCATTTTCCCTTTAGGGTCCAATTAAACTCACGACTCACCAAAAAAAAGGTACCTTCAAAGAAAACCAACCCCACAATGCGAACTCTGCGTCTCTCTTTAGATCAAAATTGCCCAACCCTGATGCCGAGCGCTTCAAAAGCCGACGATGGCAACCAGCCAAGCAAGAAAGTTGAGAAGGTCAGGGCTGCAATCCGTTCAAAATGGCTTGAGCTGCTACAGTTGAAGCGACCTCGTTTGCTTTTTCTTCGAGACTGCGTAGTAGTCGTTTCAACAAATGTTGCAAAGTATAGTCTGCCAACCTCGCTTGCTTGATGGATCACCGGACCGGCCTGCTGGGCAGGGAGTACAGGCCGACCTTTGCCGCGCTCGCGGGCACAAAATGTTGCGCTGGCGTTTGGTCAAATCGGAGGACCACGTGTGCGTGACCCAAACACCAATACTGAATGCTATCCACACTGACCACTGATGAGAATCCTTCACACTTGGGCAACCATCCTGGTAGTCATCCGCAAGGTTGATTGATCTGGGGTCAAGAGCATCTGCTCTCTAATCACTGTACAATTCACTAGTCATAACTAAGGGACTTTCACCATGCGCTCGCTAGCAAAGGGATACAGCGGAGAGGTTTGGCCACCCATCCTTTACTTTACGATAGCAATTATTCGATTTCATAAAGGGTCATACAAAAAGGTCCAACAAGACACACCTCTTGTCTGGAAAACCAAGTTCCAAGCTGCTGCTACATGCAAAACACTCAGGCCGCCGCAGGCCCGCCACGTGGGCGAAGCGGCCTGAACAGGCCGCGGTGCTTGAGCCTGTTGTATTTTTTTATTGTAGGTGTCTTGGGAACGTGTCTACACCTCACATTGCGTCCATGCTGTATTGATTCCAAGGAAATAGTGAGGTGCCCCTGGAGAACGCCTCAATCCCATATATGTCCTAGAAACATATTCGTAGACTCTGTGAGACCCACATAGACTGCTGGAAGTAACATGCATATTCCATAAGGTTCATTTGGGGCACACATCCACGTGCGAAAGTGAGTTCCTCTGATGTTTGGACATGGGCTGCGTGGACACCCCGTGCTTGCCAAGCTTCTGCGCTACATCCGAAAATGTGCAAAAGCCACGGGGTCTGCTTCGCTTACTTTCACCCCGTGTGTCAAGCGTGCAAGCCCCAAGGGCCCAAGAGCACCGCCAATGCATGGAGGTGTGGGGAGCCCCTGCCTGCAGCACAGGGCAGGCAGCTTGAGGCGTTGCCTCGAGGGCGGGCAGAGCCAAGACGCTTCTTCATTAGTTTGAATGGTGTCCCAGGCAAGCGGCCCAAAATGGAAGTGGCTGAGGTGGGGTTGTTGCTCCTTTCACAATGTTCACCGCTCGGTATGCACAGAACCATCACATCCAGCCGACAGCTAGAAGACTCAAAACAGTGCTAAGGTCAATCTCATAAATCCCCCGGAAGGAACACGGAACGCCTTGATGGAATTCATGGGGAGGCCTCCTGCACCACCGCATGTGTCCTTCATAACCTTCCGTAGTCGAGAACGCAAACATGTATGGGGAGCCTCCGGGGAGCCTTCAAACAAGTTCCGTGACATACTGGTCTCCTTATATGTCCTACTCGCCATTCAGCCCGAATTCTGGCAGCCACCCAACAAGGGAATGATGTTAATATAAAGACCCACCCATTGTTGTTCCTTCCCTATCGACCCCGGATAAATCAACCAGGTGGATTGTTTGGGGCGGCGCTGCCCAAAAAATCTTTGGGAGAACCCCCTGGTTAAACCCAAGTGAAGTGGACGGCACCACTGCAAGGCCCCTGCTGGAAGTGCCGGCTGGACACTTGGAGCATCCCTGGCGGTACTTTGCACAGGACTGGTTTGGGTGTCTTAGACATCCGGCTCGGTTGTTGTTTCTGTGGTGTCCCTTGGAACCCACCCAAAAAAGGTGCCAACTCAAAAAGCAAAGTCCAAACATGTTGAGAACCATCAGCCACTGGCTTGTTTCGCACTGACTACCCGTGGCGCCATAGCTAACTTGATCACCGCCCGACTTGGGTCTTGGCCGAAACTAGGCATACAACAAAAGCTGGCAGCGGGGTTGCTTCTCGACAACGCTCTGGAGGAGATTCTGCTACAACTGACCTGTCAACTTGAAAGTAAACAAGGGCGTAGCACTTGTATCAAGTGGCTAGAACGTGAACATGCTTTGAAAGCTAGTAGTTGTAAAATCTAGATGCTCTCGTGGAGATAATGGTTTGGGGGTAGTGGAAACAACTTTCCTGCTGGCCAAACCCACACACTGTCTTCACCGCCACTTTCTGGGGCGATCACATCGAAGGCTAACTGACACCAGCGCCACTTTGCAAAGGCGTTCGGTACACCTCAGAAATGCGGAACCAGCGCAGCAATGACAGGAGGAGAAAATTATCTTGTCGCGAATGAAATATGGGACCACCGAGCGGCGCACGCCAAAGCTCTTGCATAGCTGAATCTTCCGTGCGCCTCTCTCGCGCTGTTTGGAAAATCGGTCAGGCTCCAACGAGTTGAAGCAATCGTCAGGATCAGCTGGCCATGATATTCGAAAGCAAAATTCAAAGTGACCGTCCAACTGCAGCCCGGCCAGAAATGTGGGAAAGCTCGACGGAAATGTGTGGAGTAAAAAATATATTCAAAGAGCTGTCTTACCTCAGATTGTGTCCGCATGTTGCGTACCTCTGTGAAGAACATTGTCTGGGGTAGCTTCCCATGTATGTCCAAACTTGCACTGCCGCAGTACCTTGCTCTTGAGACTTTTGTAATATGTCGCCAAGCACTTGCCGCCCAAACTGTAAGCGTGTTGCTGCAAGCGGCGCAAGCCAACCGGGGCCTTGCTAGCACAGTGTGGGCACCAAGTTCCACAGCTCAAAATAGACGCTGCCGATGCCATCCATGTGTGGCCCTGCAGGCATTTCCATGGCAGCTTTGTGTGGGCGTTTTTGTAAGTTTTCGCCAGGGATTCACCACCCTTTCCTACAGCATACTCCTTCACGCGGCCAGGGCCGACAGGCGCATTACCGGCACATGTTGGGCACCACGAGCGATTGTGCATAATGGAGGTGGCGATGGCGCGCCAAGTGTGTGCCTCGGCTGCAGCGCCAGAGCAGCTTCGTCGTGCTGTTCTCATATTGGTCAGAAAGGCACTCACCCCGCATCCTGCTAGCATGTTCCTGCAGCTGCTTCAAACAAGCTGGACCTCGCGTTGCTATCGAGAAGGCACGTGGCGTCAGTGCCAGGCTTACTGCCCCATTAAGACCTGCAGGGCACAAGACCGGTTGGAGAAGCACTCTCCAAATCAGCTACGAGCACTCATCGGAATTGTACAATCTGTGATGCGAGGCTGCTGGTTAATCGTGGTCCCATCTCTGCAGCACAGCTTGAGAGCAAAAAGGAGATTCAACGCTGAGCAATGACCATCCAACTGCAGCCCAGCAAAAAATGCTGGAAAGCTCGACGGAAATTGTGTGGGCAAAATACGTCTTCAAAAAGCTGTCTCACCTCAGACTCTGTCCGCCACTTGCTGCGGGAACAACACGGACACCAGGTACTTTTGTAAAGAACACTGTCTGAGGTAGCTTCCCATGTATGTCCAAACTTGCACTGCCACAGCACCTTGCTCTTGACACGTTTGTAGGCTGTCGCCAAGCACTTATCACCCAACTTGTTTGCATGTTCCTGCAAGCGACGCAAGCCAACCGGGGCTTTTCCAGCACAGTGGGGGCACCAACTTCCAGCATACAACACATTTGAAGCTGGAGCCATCCATGTGTGGCCCTGCTGGCATTTCCAAGGCAGCCTTTTTTGTTGTTCTTGTAAGCTTCCGCCAGGCATTCACCACCCTTTGCTATTGCATACTCCTTCAAGCGCTCAAGGCCAACAGGTGCTTTGCCAGCACACGTTGGGCACCACGAGCCTGCGTTCAGAATCGAATCCGCGGAGGCAGTCCAAGTGCAACCGCGGCTGCAGCGCCAAAGCATTTTCTTCCTATTATTCTCATATTGGTCAGAAAGGCACTCACCCTGCATCCTGCTTGCATGCTCCTTCAACTGCTTCAAGCGAACTCTTTGCCACTCCTCTCGCTGCGGACCTCGGTTTGCTTTCGAGAAGGTGCGTGATGTCGCTGCCGCATCTACGCCCACAGTCCACCTGACTGGTTGGAACAGCACTCTCCACATCAGCCGTGACACTTCCCGATGTCACCTCTCAGTTGTGCAGTCTGGGAGGCGAGGCTGCTGGCTTTGGCACCCATGCCTGGCATTCCCTCACAGCTTGAAAAACGTCTTCGGAACCACCCATTCAAGGCACACACAATCAGCAGGTTCAAGTGCGCTAACACCAAGACAAATGCCCAAAGCGATTCCACAGATCACCCCCCACACTATCGGGCTGAATGGGAACAGTTCATTTGGCACACGCAGCACGCCGTGGTCAAGCCTCATCAAAGATGGACAAGCCTGCTAAGGCCAAATTGCTTGGGGCTGGTCTTTTGACGGTCGTTGGAGAGATATACGTTGGACGGAACATGGAGGCTCCCAAAGATGTTGGCATCCGCCCTCCACAAAAATCAGACCAGTCATAGCAAGTTGGCCTTCAGGGTTGCAACGTTCAAGCACGCTTGAAAATATGTGGGACCACAAGAGACTCACTAGCTGATGCCACATGAGAACTCACTTGCCTTTGCGTCAACTCGTCGTCCAAGTAAGCCTCGTTAAGTGTCTTACATCTTCCTTGGCTCTCCACTTGGGAAGAGGCCCGCATAGAAAGCTAATATGACTCCAAAGCACGCTATGCCTCACAGTGTCCATGGGTCATGCAGCAAAAGGAGACCCCTCCAAACCATCAGCAAAGAGCATAACACCTGCACCTAGCTAGATTGTGAATATTACATACCCGTTTCCCCTCCTCCAAGGTAGCAGTCTGAGGGCTTGAAAACCCCTTTGCCAAAGCAACCAGCACAATCTCCTCCCTTGGTGGTGTGTGAGGTCAATGCTGGGGTTCATGGCTCTAGGGAAAACTTAAAACCTAACATGCATCTGCTCCTGATTCAGAGCCATGGCAAAAGGACGCCAACCTAAGCGCTATCTTCCACTGCCGCTCGCTGAAGATGACACCACATCAAAAGGTTGACAAACACCAGCGCCGCTTTGCAAGGCGTTGCGATTCACCTCAGAAATACGGAACCAGCGCAGCAATGACAGGAGAACAAAGTTCCTCTTGTCGCGAATGAAATATGGAACCACCAAAAGACGCACGCCAAAGCTCTCGCACAAGCGAAGCTTTCTTGCATCTCTCTGCTGCTGCATCAGAAACTGGTCAGGGCCGAATGAGTTGAAGAAGTTGTCAGGATGAAAGTGCTGCTCGCCATGGTATTCGAAAGCAAGATTCAACGCCACACAGTGACCATCCAACTGCAGCCCGGACAGAAAAGTGGGAAAGCTGGACGGGAATGTGTGGGGCCAAAATATGTCTTCGAAAAGCAGTCTCACCTCAGATTCCGTCCGCCACTTGCTGCGAGCACAACAGGGACACCAGGCACCTCCGTGGAGAATATTGTCTGGGGTAGATTCCCATGTATGTCCAAACTTGCACTGCCACAGCACCTTGCTCTTGACACGTTTGTAGGCTGTCGCCAAGCACTTACCACCCAACTTGTTTGCATGTTCCTGCAAGCGGCGCAAGCCAATCGGGGCTTTTCCAGCACAGTGGGGGCACCAACTTCCAGCATACAACACATTTGATGCTGAAGCCATCCATGTGTGGCCCTGCTGGCATTTCCATGGCAGCTTTGTTTTGTTGTTCTTGTAAGCTTCCGCCAGGCATTCACCACCCTTTGCTATTGCATACTCCTTCAAGCGCTCAAGGCCAACAGGTGCTTTGCCAGCACACGTTGGGCACCACGAGCCTGCGTTCAGAATCGAATCCGCGGAGGCAGTCCAAGTGCAACCGCGGCTGCAGCGCCAAAGCATTTTCTTCCTATTATTCTCATATTGGTCAGAAAGGCACTCACCCTGCATCCTGCTTGCATGCTCCTTCAACTGCTTCAAGCGAACTCTTTGCCACTCCTCTCGCTGCGGACCTCGGTTTGCTTTCGAGAAGGTGCGTGATGTCGCTGCCGCATCTACGCCCACAGTCCACCTGACTGGTTGGAGCAGCACTCTCCACATCAGCCGTGACACTTCCCGATGTCACCTCTCAGTTGTGCAGTCTGGGAGGCGAGGCTGCTGGCTTTAGCACCCATGCCTGGCATTCCCTCACAGCTTGAAAAACGTCTTCGGAACCACCCATTCAAGGCACACACAATCAGCAGGTTCAAGTGCGCTAACACCAAGACAAATGCCCAAAGCGATTCCACAGATCACCCCCCACACTATCGGGCTGAATGGGAACAGTTCATTTGGCACACGCAGCACGCCGTTGTCAAGCCTCATCAAAGATGGACAAGCCTGCTAAGGCCAAATTGCTTGGGGCTGGTCTTTTGACGGTCGTTGGAGAGATATACGTTCGACGGAACATGGAGGCTCCCAAAGATACACCCTGGGTGGGGGGCTAACAGGGTTGGCATCCGCCCTCCACAAAAATCAGACCAGTCATAGCAAGTTGGCCTTCAGGGTTGCAACGTTCAAGCACGCTTGAAAATATGTGGGACCACAAGAGACTCACTAGCTGATGCCACATGAGAACTCACTTGCCTTTGTGTCAACTCGTCGTCCAAGTAAGCCTCGTTAGTGTCTTTCATCTTCCTTGGCTCCCCACTTGGGAAGAGGCCCGCGTAGAAAGCTAATATGACACCAAAGCACGCTTTGCCGCACAGTGTCCATGGATCATGCAGCAAAAGGAGACCCCTCCAAACCATCAGCAAAGAGCATAACACCTGCACCTAGCTAGATTGTGAATATTACATACCCCGTTTCCCCTCCTCCAAGGTAGTAGTCTGAGGGATTGAAAACCCCTTTGCCAAAGCAACCGGCACAATCTCCTCCCTTGGTGGTGTGTGAGGTCAATGCTGGGGTTCATGGCTTTAGGGAAAACTTAAAACCCTAACATGCATCTCCTGATTCAGAGCCATGGCAAAAGGACGCCAACCCAAGCGCTATCTTCCACTGATGCTCGCTGAAGATGACACCACATCAAAAGGTTGACAGACACCAGCGCCGCTTTGCAAAGGCGTTCGGTTCACCTCAGAAATACGGAACCAGCGCAGCAATGACAGGAGAACAAAGTTCCTCTTGTCGCGAATGAAATATGGAATCACCAAAAGGCGCACGGCAAAGCTCTCGCACAACCGCAGCTTGCGTGCATCTCTCTCGCGCTGTTTGGAAAATGAGTCAGGGCCGAATGAGTTAAAGTAGTTGTCAGGATTAAAGTGCTGCTCGCCATGGTATTCGAAGGCAAGATTCAACGCTGAGCAATGACCATCCAACTGCAGCCCGGCCAAAAATGCTGGAAAGCTCGACGGAAATTTGTGTGGGCAAAATATGTCTTCGAAGAGCTGTTTCACCGCAGATTCTGTCCGCCACTTGCTGCGTGCACAAAAGGGACACCAGGTACCTCTGTGAAGAACGCTGTCTGGGGTAGCTTCCCATGTGTGGCCAAGTTGGCACTGCCACAGTACCTTGCTCTTGACACGTTTGTAGGCTGTCGCCAAGCACTTACCACCCAACTTGTTTGCATGCTCCTGCAAGCGACGCAAGCCAACCGGGGCTTTTCCAGCACAGTGCGGGCACCAAGTTCCACCATTCAAAATAGATGCTGCTGAAGCCATCCATTTGTGACCCTTTTGGCATTTCCATGGAAGCTTTGTCTGGGCGTTCTTGCAAGTTTCCGCCAAGCATTCACCGTCCTTTCTTGCTGCGTGTTCTTTCAGGCGGCCAAGGCCAATAGGTGCAACACCAGCACACGTTGGGCACCACGAGCCCGCGTTTAGAACCGAGTCAGCTCTGGCACGCCAGGTGTGCCTGTGATTGCAGCGCCAAAGCAATTTCGTCCTACTATTCTCATATTGGTCAGAAAGGCACTCACCCTGCAACCTGCTGGCATGTTCCTTCAACTGCTTCAATCGAATCCTCTGCCACTCCTCTCGCTGCGGACCTCGTGGGGCTGTCGAGAAGGCGTGTGATGTCAGTGCCAAGCTTGTTGCCGTGTCTAGGCCCACATTCCACCTGACTGGTTGGAGTAGCACTCTCCACATAAGCTCTCCCTCCAACAGCTGTGACCGCTGGATTCCTGAACTATCACCACTCAGTTGTGCAGTCTGGGAGGCGAGGCTGCTGACTTTGGCACCATCTTTGGCATCCCCTCACAGCTTGAGCACCAACACAGCCGGTCCGTACGGACAAACGTATGTGCACAGGAAACTAGTTACTTCCAGGGCGTCAGGAACACGTACAGGAGGGCAAACAATCAGCCATTCCAACAGCGTTGGTTGCGCTCCCCCCCACGCGACATGGGTTTCCCAGCCCCCCAAGCAGTTTTGGTCTTAACAGGCTTGTCTGTCTTTGATGAGGCTGAACGTCCAGCCCAACCAGTTTGGGGTGATCTCAGAGAGTGCTTTGACATTTGTCTTGGGGATAGTGCGCGTGGCATTGTTCGGCAATCAGTGGTCCTTACAGTAAAGCATGTGGGTGTGTTTCAAGAGAGGGGACACAACAAACATGGTTGGTCTCCTTGACGCTTCCCATTAAAACCAACCAAAAGTGGGCACCCTCAAACAAATACATTCCCATGTGTAGATCAGTCACTCACAGAAAAGTTCAATACTCAAACTAATCGTAAAAAAAAGCGGCCCCTTTAGCGGACAATCACAGCACACTAAGCCCTTTCCTTCTTTTGTATGGCGCGTGGGAGACTCACTAAGACTCAGTCAACTCGATTGTTTTCCCTGGCTGTCTGACTCTCCGCCTGGGAAGAGGCCCTCATATTCCGATATAGCCGCATCGGCTGAATAGAAACGGATGCCTCAAGCGCCCCAGAGGGACTCTACTTCCCCCCAGATCATCAAAAAGGGTTGATCTTAACCTTTCCATGGCTCCCCTTGCTGTGGCTCTGAATTCATATTGGACATATCAGAGCCATACAGTATCAGGTGGGGCGCACTTGTTGGGTCCAAAATGGTCCAAACATGCAAAGCTGGGCCGACTGACTTCGTCAGCAGCAAGCCAGCCCGCGCGCCCTCTTCCACTGCCGCCGTCTGAGGATGCGACCACATCAACAGGCTGACTGACACCAGTGCCGCTTTGCAAGGTTGTGCGG